TACTTACTTGAGGAGAGGCTTCAGGGAAGATTTGAAAGGCAAAGCATGGATGCACAATATCCTGCACCAGTTAGCAGGTGGTTTTATCCCAGTATTCATAACCTAGGGTCTAGTCTATCCTAGGAGCAGGATTGCGCGGTCAGTTAAGGCTTCCAACAGGCATACCGTACCTGCACAAGTTACGACAACTCCCAAATTGGACAAGGCACGACATCAGGCCATTCGCCCTTCACCATGATTTTCGCTCGCACCCTCAAATTCATGAGCTCGTTATGATTTGCCGGAGTCGGTTTCTGCCTTGGCAGCTCTAGAGCATCGAAGCAAAAACCAACCTCGCGCCTGTCAAGAAAACGATTCTCGGCTTCCAAGTCCTCGAGTGTGCAGCCCCGGATGTATTCCTGGCAAAGCGAACGACATGACATGGTTTCTTTGTGGTTGCACAGCAAATTTTCATAAAACTATAGCATGACGACAGGGCGTGCATTCGCAGTCTTTGATGCATGGCTAAAAGAGGGAGATGTCAGAAAGCGTGTCAACTTCAAACAATCACTAGATTGGGGTGAAACACCATGCCCTTCAAAGAACATTGAGGCTCTGCGGCCTTTTGACATGGAAAACAAGCCTCTGCACATCAAGTGAACACCGGATGTGGCCGGTAGACTTCGGGCTCTCTCGGATTGAGACAAACGTGTACGAACCCAAGTCCCTGCGAAGCCGATCGACGTTCAATGTTTGCAAAGGCAAATGTGTTGAGCCGCGCACTATGCAAACCCAAATAGTGACAGTGCTTTACGAACCCCAAAGCTAGGCACGACACTTTGAGAATACACTTGTGCCGCGCCCAGAAAGTGCTTGCTACGCAGGGATTGCCTTACAATTACTCTGTGCAGAAACTTACCTCTCAACTGAACATCAGCACAGCAGAAGTAACCCACCCGAAAACCGGCCCGCATGGTGAAGCGCGTAACTCAGTTGCCCGGATTGGACCCAGAAGAAAAGCTGATCACCGACTCGTGCGTGCCTCTGCTGCATGGGGCGTCATCCGAAGCTGGTCCTCCAGCCATTCGTCCCAACGGGGCGGAGCCAAAGGCGCGAAGGAGCACCACATGAAGCGAAATACTTCCCTCCTCGACAAGGCAGGCAATGCCCCTGGAAAAAAATACAAACACACACACACACACACGAAAAAAACAACAACTCCCTGCCGGAGTTTTCCCTAGATGTCCAGTTTCGGGCAAAAGTAAATGGGAATTCACAGTGGAGTTTGTGGCTGGCTTACTTGCAGTTTGGACACCGCAACGCAAGCGTACTTTCAGCGGGCTCCACAATTCTGGGCCCAATCCACCATGCAAAGCAGGGTTGTGGGGTGCCCAGCCCACTGGTTACGGTTTGAGTGATGGATCCTGTTGTTGCTTCGACATTCATGCATCTTGGCCACAAGAACACCCAATTATGTTCTTCAGGAGTGTGGAAAAACCAAACGTTGCAAACAACTGGGGAAGTGAACGAACCGCTGACAGTATTCTCACTTGTCCAGGCCTGGAATTGGATGCAGTGGCTAAGCCCCATTGCCGTTCCGTTCAAGCATTCCAGTACGCCATGCTGCACTTGGTTACTCCTTTGTAGATTAAGATGGAGCCAAAAACACACACACACACACACACACACACACACACACACACACACACACACACACACACACACACACACACACACACACACACACACACACACACACACACACACACACACACACACACACACACACACACACACACACACACACACACACACACACACACACACACACACACACACACACACACACACACACACACACACACACACACACACACACACACACACACACACACACACACACACACACACACACACACACACACACACACACACACACACACACACACACACACTTCTCGGAGTAGCCTCCTTTGCCATTGTCGTGGTTCTACGGCCAGAGTCATGATGGACACCCAAATCTTGCCAGCTAGAAACGCGCTATGGGCCGTGAGCGCTCTCACCAGCTTAGCTCGCCCACATCTCTCGTTGCGCGGTCATCTTTCGGGGGGCGGCATCTCCAATCAAGTCATCTACTATACAGTCCTCAATAAATTGAAATCTTTCAACGCGCAGCTCGGAACACCAAGAGCAGCTCCGTCCTGAGCGCTGCTTGCAGAGCCTCGCGCCCGCGGCAGCCGGTCTCGAGGCGCGCCAAAGCCACCTCCGCCTGGCAGGCGCATCCAAGGCTTCCGATAAATCCATACGATCTGCGAGCCTGAAATCGTGGTCCACATTTGGGGCACTCCAAAAGTAATATGTTATCACTCTAGATGTTTCACATTTAGTTGACCCGAAAATACAATATCGTTTTGGAGGAGATCCCTGAAGTGGTGCTGATGAAGTCTTCGACTAACAGCAGTTCTGACAGGGCATGGCCTCTTCTAGTGAGCTTTTGATTGTTGGTGAACAGCCTTGGACGTCTACCGTTGGGTTCTGCCGTTTCACCAACCAAGGAAAAGGAGAACGCTGGGCCCACTGTTTGGCAGGAGCGCCCCCAGAAACACGTCAAACCACTAGACTGGGAACCAGGAGGAAGCATCCTTGGACACAGTGAGGAGCATTGCTTTAGTAGTAGTCACTTGTCCAGCGGCTTGAACAAGTTGATTTTTGTGGGCGTGTGCGCATGCTTGCGGCAAAATGCGGGACTCCGTTTAACCATCAAACGAGCGATTTTGAGGGATGGCTACTTCATCCTTAGCTATGACACCACCTGCAATGTCACCGTTCGTGGACTTCCTCCGAGCCCCCGCCCTCTTCTGTCCAGGTCCGTTCAAACTCGTATTCCTTAGCCAGGCCTCCCACCAGAATGCGTTTTCTTCTTGGGCGCTGAGGAAAGGACCAAATCCGCCTAGGGCCCGCAAGGCTCCATGACTTGTGCGCAGTTTCCTTTCCGTCACGGGCGTACGCAACAAATACAAGCTCTTGGCACAAGGTTCAGAAATCATGGGTGATCCTGGCAGATTTTCAATGTTGTCTTTAGGACCTTTGAACAAAATCTCAACCAGGCTGCCAACTGCCACAGCTGAAACCCATGTCACCTGGAGGCTACTCTTTGTGGTTGTCACCAGGGCCGCCTCCTCACTCAAACATGCTACGACCAATGTTGCTGATTGTCTCTGTCTGCTTATTCAGGCCAACCCCTCGGTTAAACATGTTCGCGGACCCAACTTTTGGCAGACGGCCCACTCCGACTTGCTTGCCGTCCAGGTGTCAGCTAAGTGAGCTGGACCTACATGAAATCAACTCCACCCCAAACCCAAAACACGTAGCCTAAACCATGCTAACTCTAAATCAGACCCATGACCCTTATCCCTCAATCGTCTTGATGCTAACACGAAGCCTGAACCCTAAAACGTGCTCTGTTGACTCTAAAACCAAATCCCCAACCCTGAACCCTAAACCGACACCCTAAACCACAACCACCCTACCTCCCCAACCCCACCATATCGACCCTTAGAAAAGACCTCACGTAACAATGTAGGCTGGTCAACCGTGAGGTCTGGGGCGAGAATATAAAACACTATTCGTTGAGCCTGGCCAACCCTAATATTCACAAAACCATCCAGCTTTATGTGGCCCGACTCTGCACCCAAACAAACCTGGACCCCAATTCACTTCACGTTTTTGGTTGAGCAGTTGACACCTTGAAACTGCCGCACGGGTTTCCCGCGCCTCAGAGGCCATCAGCTCGATTTCAGAGAGATGGCCCGACGCCTGAGGTGAAGCCAAGCACGTCCAGGCGCTGAGTCGGCAACCCTCTGGTCCAACCAGACTGAGGGGTCCAACCAGACTGAGGGGTCCCGCGGGTGCATTCCGCGTCAGCGGACCGGAGGGAAATGAATTCCGCTCCTGCGTCGCCTCCAGCACCTGCTGTGCTGCAGCGGCCGCTGCTTCCAGGGGAGAAGCAGCAAGAGCCTCGGGTGTGGTTCTGATGGTGAGACCATTTGGGTGATTCTTTGAGCCCCGCGTTCTGAAGGTTTGGTTCAAAGAGAAATCAATGGACACCATCATGCTAAGCCCCTATTTTGACACATACCCAGCACCATTCCACCCCAGGAGTGTACGTACAGGGAACTTTGGACTCTGGAAGGAACCAAAGGAAAGGCCAAAGTTCCACCCATGAGGTTGGATCATGTTTGATCATTGCGAGGCTCGGAGCAACCGTGGTGAGACGCCTAAACACGAACAAGTTGCATGAATGTTCTCTTCAGACATTTTTTGTCGCATTGAACTCATGTTTGTTCCATCTGTCCGCTCTTCTCAAAAGTCAACCGTTTTGTTATGGCTCTGTGGTGTGTCTTCGGGGATTAGAATGGGAGAGTTACCCCTACAGCTCTTCATGGCAGGAAGTATGCCAACGGCGCTGACGGCACAACACAATCAATGTGACAATGTACTCACACCCTAGTACATGGCACACAGCCCTGTAAAATGCGAAGTAAAACGATTGCCCATTCCAAGTGGAATACTAAGCCAAAGTAGACTATCGTTTGTCAAGGTCTACTACATCCAAATAAGTCGAGCCCATGAGATATGCACCAATCATGGCAGCAAAAGTTCGGTTTGGGAGGCCGAAAGGCTTGACAATCAGGACATCTGTCCAAACTGCAAAACTGAAAGTCGAATGTGTCTGTGTGTGTGTGGAGCCAGGCATGTGCATAGGCATATCTCTGTGTGTGTGTATGCGTGTGAGTGCCTGCGGAAACATATTCTTGCTTTGTTCGATTCTCGAAACAGGTTTGATCCATTACGGAGAGAAAACTCCCTTTCAACTCCTTTACAACCTCTACAAAACCTGCCCACCCCAGAAGGACACGGACGGTCAGCGAATGTGTATCTGTAATATGTGTATATGTATATAAATATATATATATATATAATATAATATTTATTATATATGTATCGTGTTTTGACACCCTTATATATATATATATATATTGTATATACTTCTACAACTGCCTCTTACAAGCACATGGAACGTGTCGTCCAAGGGGTCGACATCTCTCAGAACCCACATCAGGCTCGCGTCGCTACTTGGAGCAAGTGCAACCAACACAATCCGGTCAGGTTGAGTTGACACTCTGAGCCTTGCCTTGTAAGCCTTTTGGACAATCCTGGACTCTCAAAGAGTCAACATGGGCTGGCTCACAACACGGATTAATAAGCTTGGTACATCATTATGGAGTGTTGCTTTCAAAAGTGAACGATTCCAACCAAAACAAATGGCACTGGGCAGTGCGCCGTTCCGTAAGTCAAGCCATCGTACCCGAGATGTTGCAAACAAATGGCTCGTGGCGCAGTCCCAGGATCCACTAGCAAGCCTGGCTCGGGTCAAAGCTGGCATCTCAACATCGGGCCCTTCACGCGAGCCTGCCGACAGCGCCAGCGCTGAACCCGCAGATGCTGATTCTTCAGCCAGGTCCGAACATTCATCATGGAGCCTGGGTGCTAAAGGGCTCCGGAAAAACAACTTTCGACGGAAAAACAACTTTCGACTAAACAAAAACATCAGTCTCTCTTTTTCCTTGTGTGGAATCAAACAACACAGTTCATAACTCTTCCCACACATCATATGCTATTTAGCGCCCAGGAGCCAGCTCTCAGCCGCCAAGTTCGCCTAAGCGAGACCGGACCCTGCATTTCCCTCCTTGGTCGCTTTCAATTTTGCCGTATTGGCCCATGTAAGATATCTTTTAAGGTACGTATTCCGCAAGGTAATGGCTTAAGGGATTGAAATCACCATGTCAAAAGGGGCCAGAAATCACCGTACGTTCCACCCGAAATCTCCTGATTGGGCTTAAGTTTATTCAGGGTCATGGATCCTCCCAGCCAAAACGGCCTCACCCCTAATGGGGACAAAATGTCAGGCCCCTTTGTCGGGGGGGGTACAGCCACCCCCACATGAATTGCTCCGGGTTGTTCAAACGGGGGGAATCCTCAATCCTAATCTGACCTGGCAGGATCTTGCAGATTGACTTTGAGCAGCAAACATTAGGGCGGATTCACGTGGATTCCCTAGATATTGTGGGTAGATAACCCCATTCGCCCCCAAACCACTCAACCTCCCACCCCAACCCACCTGCTACAACACCCCCCCAACCCAACCCCCCCCCCCAACCCCAACTTCGGGGGCTGACTGATGCTCTTGGCGCATCCGCCAAGACGCGAGCTCAGAGCTGCAGAGCCCCCGCAGCCAGCGCTGCAGCCACTGCGGAGGCGGAGCTCTCAGGGCATCATCCCCTTCCAGGGCCAGCGGTCGGGCGGTTCGTCTGCGAGGCAGTACACACACACACCCGACGTCCTCTTCAAACCAGAAATCCTTAGTCCCAGGAGTAAGATCAGTTCCACCAAGCCCATCTCTAGTCACTGTCCTCCCAACAAGCAAACAGTAGTGTCTGTCTGACAAACACACACGGCGTACACAGCCAGAATGTCTCGCTGCTTTCATGCGGGGTTCCCGGCAACCCCTGCTTCTGTTTCACCCACTAGTGACCAAAGGATAATAGGGTACTCTCCTGCAAATTAACATGGAACCCCCATTTTCCAAAAAGGATATTATTCTAAAGATAGTATTTTTTGAGGTAATTACCCTGTATATATATATTTACACATGCGATTGATCTCTTGCTTTGCCGGGGGGGTCTCTTTTTAAGGTTGGTTAGGTAGGCCAAAAAGTAACACCTCTGAGGAGCAACCACCCGCCATAGAGGGTGCTTGAATCGAATTCTTTAGGCAGTGCAACAAGATTCATATGACGATGGGCCCCTGGATCCCAACTATACGGGAACTTCAACTGGATTCGGATCTGCAATGAGCATCGCATGTTCAGATCCCTCTTTATTCTTAGATCCCTCATTTGATTCTACTACCAAAAAACATTGCTTAGGCTTGGAGAACCCACACAGGGGCAACTTCAACCCCAGTGGATCCATCCCTTCTGTGTCTTCACCACCATCGGTTAAGTCTTTACCACCATCGGCTAACCCTTGATTTGGGTGTATGGTGTGTGTTTGTTTCAGGAAACCCTTTCCAGGTTAGTTTGATATTTGAAGGGAAGCTAGAGGAAAACCACTATTTTCTTGGGTACGACTATTTTGCCACATACCCACTCTAGTTGGACACGTGCCCACTCCCACGAGCAAAAGGATTCTGATGGCGCGCCTGGGCCCACCGAGCACAAGGCGCTAGCGCTCAGCATGGCAACACCACCGCCGTAGGCGACAAGCCGAACCTCGGACTTGCGAAGGACGCGGCGTTGGGAAAGTAGGAGACCTAACTTTGGCTCTTTTGTGTTTCGTGTTTCTTGGTGTTGCCTCCAGAAAACCTCGCTCCTGCAAGGGCGTGTGTGTGTGTGTGCGTATGCGGTCGTGGTGTCCGGATCCGGAACGCCTTCTGGGCCACCTGCAAATTGAAAGTGCTCCGATAACTCAATTTTCTGCTCTCGAGGTATTTCTCACGGCTTCTCAGGGAGTCTTGATATCGGAAGAGCAATTTGAAAGAAATTCAGCCACACTGCCAGCCCTGCCAGTGGAGGGTCAGGCCTCTGACGCTATCATTTATATCTGTGTGTCGCTGCGCTGCGAAGCCCTGACACAATATGCACATCCGTTCAGTGTTGCGGTCACCAGCACCAATCAAATACAAACGTAGCAAACAATTCCAGTGTGTTCTTGCTTGAGAAAAATAACTCCTAAACATAGACTTGTAGTATACGTCGCAGTTACATTAATGCGCGCACACACACACACAACACATTCCAACACGAACACCAACACCGCGCCCACACCTGCAAACAATGTCAACAAAACCCATGATTGGGCAAGGTCCTGTCGCCAATGAACACAAACAAGTGTACAACATATTGTTGACAAATGGTGTGAATTGTTGATCAGTTGCCAATGATATCCTACCCCAACAAGTGCGAGAGACTGAACTTGATGTCCCCGGCTTCGTGTGAGGACGAGCCGAGGATGGAGCCAAGCATTTGATATGTGCGTGCCGGGCCGCCGAAGGCTTCACAAGCCTCGGGGGAGTCGGCTCAAGTGTAGACTAACATGGAAGCCGACTGCAGCTTTTTAGTTTGGACTATGTTCCTTTCAAAGGGTGAGGTGCTTTTAAGAGGCTTACAACGGGAGCACGTGCAGGGTAAGTGACCTGTCCCTCGATATTGTCTACTTAAAACACGGCTGTCTAAAGTGATCTGTCGCGCTGCCCAACTCTACATTACCAACCCCATTAACCAAAGACAGGCTGAATCGATTCCGAAAATATGAAAGCTTAGACAGAGCTGTAGAGAGGACAACGTTGTTTCCAACAAAATCTAGAACAGTCAGACAAGAGGCGCTACCGCGGCTCAAGAGTGCGGGGATTTGATGCACTGAAGGAGGGGCTTGCTAAGAGGTTCGGAGAAGCGCTCGCTATGCAACCCCGTGGTTCCCGTGGTACCCTTTGAGGCTCGATGGTTTTGGGGGTGTTAACAGGAAGGAAAGTACGTGCTTAGAAGGTACGCTGGCCCTTAACGAAAATAGTGTACAGGGTATCTTGCCTTTGGAGTGTACTGAAAATTCTTGATTGGAAAATGCTACATGCCGACCACCTCAGCCAAATTGAAAGCCAGAACAACCAAACTCTGGACACAGCAAAGGCTGCCAATATCAAAGTAAAAATGCAGAAAGCTCAGGCAGGAAATCGAAGGCATCGATCAATATCAGTGTAAACACGGCACAAATTGGTTTAAAGCTCATCTACTGTACGCATCCATATGATCCAAGAGGCTCTGGAACCAGCCTCTCTGGGAACGGACGTGAGGTCGGCGCGCCCAGATCGGAAGAAGCAGCTGAAACACCTTGGCACACTTCACATGAGCCGGTTGTTTTGCATTGTATCCCAAAACTGACATCGACATTTGGTGAGTAAACCTCAGTTTCTCGTGGTAATTTGGTGATGTCATGCGCTTAGCTGCGGTAAACAATGGTGTTGATTGCTCGCATGGATGTTGTACCAGGTTACTTGTTGGTCTCTAAACCATGTCCCTCTGTCCGGTTCGGACTTGACACGACCCGCATTGGGCCACGGCAAACACCACACGCCAGTTTTGCCAATTGATGTTGAAAGGAAGCCATCCCGAAGAAAAGGTCAAAACGTTCCAGATACGGTGCACAATGCCACCCAGCCCAGCTGCTCTTTGGTTTCGCGACGGCCAGGACTCCTGGCAGCAAAGCAACCGCAGATTGAGGACAACCTTACGCGCCACATTCACCGACAGACTGTAAATCATGTACGCCATTCGCAAAGCGCTAAACACAACCTAAGGGATAGGCAGGGTTCCAACAATAGCTAACATTGCCCAGCTGGTCTGATCATCAAATCAGTGAAAGGGTTATGCTCTCACCATAGCACGCAGAACGGTGTCCCATCTTCACTCACGGTTGAGCAAAAGGATAGCTATGATATGTACATGTGTACATATTCTAATGTCTTGGAATGTCTTAGGCACACCATTGTAATACAGGAATCTAGGGTTGTTTGCTGCTGGCTTCATGTTCCCTTCAAACCTGGGTTGTTATGCTCAATATGGATTGCCAGCAGAGGGCAACAGTATGGTAAAGCATTGCGCAGCAAGGTTCGATGCATCTCCAGTAGGGTGCTCTAATAGAGGCTGGCAACGAATGCTCAAATAACTGCCGCTTCCGCCCTGAATCAAACAAGCAACTGCCGCATTCAACAAAGGCGACCTGGATGGATGGGTTGGTGGCAGGTGGCACATCCAGCCCAGGTGGTGCCGACGGTTAATTTTGCAGTCCAAACGTTTTCGATATGTGACATGTGTCTCTGCGTCTCTGCACGCACGCGCGCAGGGTCTCATAAGTGCCTTGTCGCACAAACAGCCGCTCTTGTTGGTGTTGCTGCTGTTGTTGTTGCTGTTGCGGTAGCTGTTGCTACTGTTGTTGTTGTGGTTGTGGTTGTGTTGTTGTTGCTGCTGCTGCTGCTGCTACTGGGGCTGCTGCCGCTGCTGCTGCTGCCGCTGCTGCTGCTCTGTTGCTGTTCTTGATTTTGTTTGGTGTTGTTCTTGCTCTTCTGCCTCTTGTTGATTGATTATATTTATATCATTACTACTATTATTATCATCATTGTGACTATTACTATTATTATTATTATTATTTTATTATTGTGATTATTATTATTAGTACTACTATTTTTGCTATTATTACTACTATTATTACTATTACTATTATTACTATCACTATTATTATTGATTGTTGTCATTATTAATTGTTTTCTTCTTGTTGTTATTGTTATTGTTGTTCTTGGTGGTGTTGGTGCTGCTGCCGCTGTGGTTGCATGTGCAATCGTAAGCGCAGTCACGTTCCGAAGCTCGTGGCTACAATCCGCAGAATTAGACACGACCAACTTCCCATTTGACCAGGACCTGCGCCAGCTGCACTGTAGCCACCCGGCCGCCCTGAAAATGGCGCACCCGGATGCCAAGCTGAAGATAGTGCCATCCCCGGATCCCTTGTGATTTACACTGGATCATTCCAGCAGAGTGTAAAGCTGCCAACGGCGAATTCCATACATTGAATACAACAGAGTGCGTGCATCTTGCCAACAGCGGTTGGAAGGCAACTGAAAAGTCGTCGGCGGAAAGCTAATAACAAAGCCACTGAAAAGTGCCAGCTTCGTCTACAGAACATGAGGTGGCCAAGCTTGAAACAAGTGTCGCTCAGCAAGCTTGGCTCTACGAGTCGTGCCAAAACATGGATGAGTTGCTTGTGCCGCACATTCAATGGAAGCAGAGGTCTGATTGCAATGTGGGTATTCCCGTTGGCAAAAAGCGCTGGCTGCTTCAAATACATGCAACTCTGTGTGGATCCTTCTGCTGCTCGGTCTTCGGCAAACACTTGCAAGCATGTTTTCTTCCATACGTCGGTGTCGTGAACATCGTCTCCACTGCTTGACTGTGCCATCGTCAGGATCCATGCTAGTGGATCAAGTCCCGCGAGCACAGGATGTCTCCAGCCACCCTTTCAACGGTTGAATAATTGCTCAGCACTTATGCAAACTAAAGCAGCTAGCTTGCCGGCACACTAAGCAGCCTTTGATGATCCCGACTCAGATAGCGAGATACTTATACTTATCTACTAGCGACCATGCTCTAAGCCCGACCTAGGGAACGGTTGTGCTTTGGTCAAAACACAAACATCAAACAGACACACAAATTACAGCAATCACTCAGTTCCATCATACGACAATACTTGAGTTGCAGCAAAGGAAAAACAGACCGAAGACAACGCCCAGGAGCAAAGACCATGACATAAACCCAAACGTGCCCCCAAAAGGCGGTGGTTTCGTGTGACCAGGCAATACGAACCCGGCCTGGGGGTTTGGGCACTCGCGGCTTCGGCTCCGGCCGCTCCGGCGCAACCGAAGGCGGCTTTGGCTCCGAGCTTGGCGCCTCAGCGAGTGCTGAAAGGGCCGACGTCAGAAACTAACTGGATATCGACTTAACACGAGTCACGGGCCGGGTGATTTCCCATGGGTTTGACAATTTGAGGGTCCAGTGCTTTTGCACTTCGGCCCTTCCTGCAAAGCATGGGAAAAGGGGCAAGCTGGGAGAGAAGACATCGTGAGCCTCGAGCGTTGCCTCGCTCCTCAAGTATGAACCAACAAATAGGGATCTGTCCTGCTCAAAGGATAGAGCTTCAGAGCCAAAAAAAAGAATCATCCATGCAAGAGTGTGCGGCAAACGTAACACGCAGGTACAGTGGCAAGTGGGCAGTGGCCTAGCCTAGACGTTGATTCGGGAAGTGGGCGGCTTTTCTTGGATTGCTCTGCGTTGGCATGCCCACCATTTCTCACTGGTTTGAGCTCACCTGCCTGCCTCGTAAGATGCGTAGTTTGCGTTTACGACAACTTCCTTGTGAGGTTGTTGTATCACCAAATGGGCTGGGTAACGGCAGAATGCACAGAAGATCATCTTCAGTTGTGCCATGCACCCAGTCCTGATGAGTCGGCTGATGTCGGCTTGTCCACAAGGAAAACATCCTGTACAGAAAGGCCGCCTGCTGGGCACAGCTGAAAACAGTTGGCAGTGAGAAGTAGGGTCCTGGGTGGAAGGAAAACAACACATCGCCTGCTCTTGGCGGGGCCTTAGGGGGAAGCGACCACGCGAAGCATTCAATTCAAATTGTAACATGCTCAATCCCTTACCTTAAATGAACAGGGCACCCTGATTCCGCCGACCCCTGCCCCTGGAAAGAGAAGGGTGGCAACCGCAGCTTTTGCATGTCTACTTCTGGGCTCTGTAAGCTTCTAGCTGTGCCGGTAGTAATGCCGGCGATGTTGCTGATCCTTCACGATTTTTGCTTTTGCATCATTATATAGGGGTTAAACAACTGTCACTCACAATAGATTTCCAAATGGGGATGTCGCTGATGCATTCCTGTCCCGTCTGGCAATGTTTGTCCTGCTTTTCGTGAGGCTCATTTGGGCTCAAAGCATGCCCGCTTCTTGGCATTTCGAAACCTGCCTGGGCATTCCGGGACACAAAACCACCAAACATCATACACAAGCCTTGCTGGAACCCGTCACAGCAGAGGCACATGACCGAGAGGCGGATGTGCACTCCGCACGGCTGATGCCCTGAATATTGCAAGTAGGGGAACAATGGAACCTGCTGTAACTTACAATGATTTTGTGATTGGATGTGGTTGACTCAGTTGTGAAATGCGGGGTGGTTGTTGAGGGTACCCTTTTGGGGGTTTTAAAGCACCCATTTGGGCTCCCTATTTTGACACATACTCCACCCATTTCCCACCATCCGGTCGACTTCTGCCACGCCACCTCCGTAGTCTCCCTCGGACGCCTGCGCCAGCCTCCAGAGACACGCAGGAAAGAAGCTTGACGGACTTACTGGCGAGTCTTAAAGAAAGGAATACCAAAAAAGGCTTGCTTCCTGCTTATTTTGTTTTATCATCAGTCCAAAAGGGAGTCCTCAAACAAAAGACAGACCCAAAAAATGGGTTTCTCGCAAAATGCGCCGACCCCGCCGAGGAGCGTGCTCTGGCGGGGCGGCGCCTGGGATACCGAAGGTCCCATCGAAGGGCCGCCGAAAGACACATCGCGTGCGTGCCTGCGCCTCTCGCTCCACCGTCGCAAGTCTTCGTAACGGGTTCCGAAACTGCGCGTCCGGCACCCTCCGCGCGCGCCTTTTCGCTCCATTTGTGGTACTTTTGGGCACGCCCTGCCACTGCGCTTGAACGTTTCGGGGGGCGCGGGGGGCGCGCCTCTGCGTGACTGCGGCCCGGCCGTGCCTGGGCTGGGCTTGGCCCTGTCGCCCCCGGGCCCCTCCTAGTCTTCGTAACGGGTTCCGAAACTGCCGTTCCGGCACCCTCCGCACACGCCTTTTCGCTCCATTTTTGGTACTTTTGGGCACGCCCTGCCACTGCGCTTGGGCGTTTCGGGGGGCGCGGGGGGCGCGGGGGGCGCGCCTCTGCGTGACTGCGGCCCGGCCGTGCCTGGGCTGGGTTTGGCCCTGTCGCTCCCGGGCCCCTCCTAGTCTTCCTAACGGGTTCCGAAACTGCCGTTCCGCCACCCTCCGCACACGCCTTTTCGCTCCATTTTTGGTACTTTTGGGCACGCCCTGCCACTGCGCTTGGGCGTTTTGGGGGGCGCGGGGGGCGCGCCTCTGCGTGACTGCGGCCCGGCCGTGCCTGGGCTGGGTTTGGCCCTGTCGCTCCCGGGCCCCTCCTAGTCTTCGTAACGGGTTCCGAAACTGCCGTTCCGCCACCCTCCGCACACGCCTTTTCGCTCCATTTTTGGTACTTTTGGGCACGCGCTTCTGCGTGCCTAGGCTGGGTTTGGCCCTGTCGCTCCCGGGCCCCTGGGTTCCGTGCCGTTCCGGCACCCTCCGCACACGCATTTTCGCTCCATTTTTGGTACTTTTGGGCACGCCCTGCCACTGCGCTTGGCGTTTTGGGGGGCGCGGGGGGCGCGCCTGACTGCGGCCCGGCCGTGCCTGGGCTGGGTTTGGCCCTGTCGCTCCCGGGCCCCTCCTAGTCTTCGTAACGGGTTCCGAAACTGCCGTTCCGCCACCCTCCGCACACGCCTTTTCGCTCCATTTTTGGTACTTTTGGGCACGCCCTGCCACTGCGCTTGGGCGTTTTGGGCTGGGTTTGGCCCTGTCGCTCCCGGGCCCCTCCTAGTCTTCCTAACGGGTTCCGAAACTGCCGTTCCGCCACCCTCCGCACACGCCTTTTCGCTCCATTTTTGGTACTTTTGGGCACGCCCTGCCACTGCGCTTGGGCGTTTTGGGGGGCGCGGGGGGCGCGCCTCTGCGCTAGTCTTCCTAACGGGTTCCGAAACTGCCGTTCCGCCACCCTCCGCACACGCCTTTTCGCTCCATTTTTGGTACTTTTGGGCACGCCCTGCCACTGCGCTTGGGCGTTTTGGGGGGCGCGGGGGGCGCGCCTCTGCGTGACTGCGGCCCGGCCGTGCCTGGGCTGGGTCTGGCCCTGTCGCTCCCGGGCCCCTCCTAGTCTTCCTAACGGGTTCCGAAACTGCCGTTCCGCCTTTTGGGCACGCCCTGCCACTGTTTTGGGGGGCGCGGGGGGCGCGCCTCTGCGTGACTGCGGCCCGGCCGTGCCTGGGCTGGGTCTGGCCCTGTCGCTCCCGGGCCCCTCCTAGTCTTCCTAACGGGTTCCGAAACTGCCGTTCCGGCACCCTCCGCCTTTTCGCTCCATTTTTGGTACTTTTGGGCACGCCCTGCCATTGCGGGCGCGGGGGGCGCGCCTCTGCGTGACTGCGGCCCGGCCGTGCCTGGGCTGGGTTTGGCCCTGTCGCTCCCGGGCCCCTCCTAGTCTTCGCCGCACACGCCTTTTCGCTCCATTTTTGGTACTTTTGGGCACGCCCTGCCACTGCGCTTGGGCGTTTTGGGGGGCGCGGGGGGCGCGCCTCTGCGTGACTGCGGCCCGGCCGTGCCTAGGCTGGGTTTGGCCCTGTCGCTCCCGGGCCCCTCCTAGTCTTCCTAACGGGTTCCGAAACTGCCGTTCCGGCACCCTCCGCACACGCCTTTTCGCTCCATTTTTGGTACTTTTGGGCACGCCCTGCCACTGCGCTTGGGCGTTTCGGGGGGCGCGGGGCGGGGGGGCGCGCCTCTGCGTGACTGCGGCCCGGCCGTGCCTGGGCTGGGTTTGGCCCTGTCGCTCCCGGGCCCCTCCTAGTCTTCGTAACGGGTTCCGAAACTGCCGTTCCGCCACCCTCCGCACACGCCTTTTCGCTCCATTTTTGGTACTTTTGGGCACGCCCTGCCACTGCGCTTGGGCGTTTTGGGGGGCGCGGGGGGCGCGCCTCTGCGTGACTGCGGCCCGGCCGTGCCTGGGCTGGGTTTGGCCCTGTCGCTCCCGGGCCCCTCCTAGTCTTCCTAACGGGTTCCGAAACTGCCGTTCCGCCACCCTCCGCACACGCCTTTTCGCTCCATTTTTGGTACTTTTGGGCACGCCCTGCCACTGCGCTTGGGCGTTTTGGGGGGCGCGGGGGGCGCGCCTCTGCGCTAGTCTTCCTAACGGGTTCCGAAACTGCCGTTCCGCCACCCTCCGCACACGCCTTTTCGCTCCATTTTTTGGACTTTTGGGCACGCCCTGCCACTGCGCTTGGGCGTTTTGGGGGGCGCTCCACTTTTGCCTGGGCCTGTCGGGGCAGTCCCTAACGGGTTCCGACTGCCGTTCCGGCACCCTCCGCGCCGCCTTTTCGCTCCATTTTTGGTACTTTTGGGCACGCCCTGCCACTGCGCTTGGGCGGGCGCGGGGGGCGCGCGCGCCTCTGCGTGACTGCGGCCCGGCCGTGCCTGGGCTGGGTTGGCCCTGTCGCTCCCGGGCCCTTCCTAGTCTTCGTAACGGGTTCCGAAACTGCCGTTCCGGCACCCTCCGCACACGCTTTTCGCTCCATTTTTGGTACTTTTGGGCACGCCCTGCCACTGCGCTTGGGCGTTTCGGGGGGCGCGGGGGGCGCGCCTCTGCGTGACTGCGGCCCGGCCGTGCCTGGGCTGGGTTTGGCCCTGTCGCTCCCGGGCCCCTCCTAGTCTTCCTAACGGGTTCCGAAACTGCCGTTCCGCCACCCTCCGCACACGCCTTTTCGCTCCATTTTTGGTACTTTTGGGCACGCCCTGCCACTGCGCTTGGGCGTTTTGGGGGGCGCGGGGGGCGCGCCTCTGCGTGACTGCGGCCCGGCCGTGCCTGGGCTGGGCTTGGCCCTGTCGCTCCCGGGCCCCTCCTAGTCTTCCTAACGGGTTCCGAAACTGCCGTTCCGGCACCCTCCGCACACGCCTTTTCGCTCCATTTTTGGTACTTTTGGGCACGCCCTGCCACTGCGCTTGGGCGTTTCGGGGGGCGCGCTCCCGGGCCCCTCCTAGTCTTCCTAACGGGTTCCGAAACTGCCGTTCCGCCACCCTCCGCACACGCCTTTTCGCTCCATTTTTGGTACTTCTGCCACTGCGCTTGGGCGTTTTGGGGGGCGCGGGGGGCGCGCCTCTGCGTGACTGCGGCCCGGCCGTGCCTGGGCTGGGTCTGGCCCTGTCGCTCCCGGGCCCCTCCTAGTCTTCCTAACGGGTTCCGAAACTGCCGTTCCGGCACCCTCCGCCTTTTCGCTCCATTTTTGGTACTTTTGGGCACGCCCTGCCATTGCGGCGCGGGGGGCGCGCCTCTGCGTGACTGCGGCCCGGCCGTGCCTGGGCTGGGTTTGGCCCTGTCGCTCCCGGGCCCCTCCTAGTCTTCCTAACGGGTTCCGAAACTGCCGTTCCGGCACCCTCCGCACACGCCTTTTCGCTCCATTTTTGGTACTTTTGGGCACGCCCTGCCACTGCGCTTGGGCGTTTTGGGGGGCGCGGGGGGCCGCGCCTCTGCGTGACTGCGGCCCGGCCGTGCCTAGGCTGGGTTTGGCCCTGTCGCTCCCGGGCCCCTCCTAGTCTTCCTAACGGGTTCCGAAACTGCCGTTCCGGCACCCTCCGCACACGCCTTTTCGCTCCATTTTTGGTACTTTTGGGCACGCCCTGCCACTGGGTTTGGCCTGCAGTCTTCCTAACGGGTTCCGAAACTGCCGTTCCGCACCCTCCGCACACGCCTTTTCGCTCCATTTTTGGTACTTTTGGGCACGCCCTGCCACTGCGCTTGGGCGTTTTGGGGGGCGCGGGGGGCGCGCCTCTGCGTGACTGCGGCCCGGCCGTGCCTGGGCTGGGTTTGGCCCTGTCGCTCCCGGGCCCCTCCTAGTCTTCCTAACGGGTTCGGAAACTGCCATTCCGGCACCCTCCGCACGCGCCTTTTCGCTCCATTTTTGGTACTTTTGGGCACGCCCTGCCACTGCGCTTGGACGTTTTGGGGGGCGCGGGGGGCGCGCCTCTGCGTGACTGCGGCCCGGCCGTGCCGGCTGGGTTTGGCCCTGTCGCTCCCGGGCCCCTCCTAGTCTTCCTAACGGGTTCCGAAACTGCCGTTCCGCCACCCTCCGCACACGCCTTTTCGCTCCATTTTTGGTACTTTTGGGCACGCCCTGCCACTGCGCTTGGGCGTTTTGGGGGGGGGCGCGCCTCTGCGTGACTGCGGCCCGGCCGTGCCTGGGCTGGGTTTGGCCCTGTCGCTCCCGGGCCCCTCCTAGTCTTCCTAACGGGTTCCGAAACTGCCGTTCCGGCACCCTCCGCACACGCCTTTTCGCTCCATTTTTGGTACTTTTGGGCACGCCCTGCCACTGCGCTTGGGCGTTTCGGGGGGCGCGGGGGGCGCGCCTCTGCGTGACTGCGGCCCGGCCGTGCCTGGGCTGGGTTTGGCCCTGTCGCTCCCGGGCCCCTCCTAGTCTTCGTAACGGGTTCCGAAACTGCCGTTCCGCCACCCTCCGCACACGCCTTTTCGCTCCATTTTTGGTACTTTTGGGCACGCCCTGCCACTGCGCTTGGGCGTTTTGGGGGGCGCGGGGGGCGCGCCTCTGCGTGACTGCGGCCCGGCCGTGCCTGGGCTGGGTTTGGCCCTGTCGCTCCCGGGCCCCTCCTAGTCTTCCTAACGGGTTCCGAAACTGCCGTTCCGCCACCCTCCGCACACGCCTTTTTTGGTACGCTGCCACTGCGCTTTTGGTACTCCCGGGCCCCTCCTAGTCTTCCTAACGGGTTCCGAAACTGCCGTTCCCCACCCTCCGCCACGCCTTTTCGCTCCATTTTTGGTACTTTTGGGCACGCCCTGCCACTGCGCTTGGGCGTTTTGGGGGCGCGGGGGGCGCGCCTCTGCGTGACTGCGGCCCGGCCGTGCCTGGGCTGGGTTTGACCTGGTTGACTTCTTATGGAAGCTAATGACTTGACATGTTGACTCAAATTCTGCTTTCTCCGCCGGCGCCTCCTGGGTGCCTAGCGGGCCTTTTGCGTCGAGATGCTGTTGCAAGCCAGTCTTTGGACTGCGCTGTATGTGCAAAAACACGCCTCGCGAACCTGCCTGCGCAGGAACTGGTGGGCTTTTTTCTCTGCGCTCTATGCGATCCGACCCCCGCCATGGCGCGGGACGAGTGCCGCTGCAACACATGGACGCTAACTGCCCGCAAAAAAAAACAGGGTCGGCGGCACCCGGGCGTAGCCCGTTCTATATGGGAACCCTGACAATGAGCCGTTACCCAGTGGTTCCCTTTCAAACAACCCCAAAAGGGTACCCTCGCAAAAAGACATACCCATATCCCAAAACCACCCTGCTTTACAAGGGGACCCTTTAACAGCTCCTAAAGGCAGCGTTTGTAGGTGGCCCACACGTATCCTTCAAGGGACCCTGATGGAGGTTTGCTTTCCAACCCTGAAACTACTGCCAATCAAACCCAACATCAGTGAAGAAAGAGAATTGATTCTCGAAATACGACCCACTAAGATCGCACGGAGAATGACTTCAGCATCCAGTGATCGTGCAGACTGCACGACGAAACCAGCCACCCAACCAGGGTTAAGCCTCAACCGCTAGAACAAAAAGCATCGGTTCGGTGACAAGGGCACCCTCAAAAACACTGCCTCCTCATGTGGTACCAAAGTGCTCTCAAAGAGGATTGCTTGATGGCTGCTAGTTGGCACCTTGCAGATGGGGAGTCCCAAAACTGCCAAGCGGCTGTACGCCACATCTTCCTCATCTAGCACCTGTGATCCGAAGAAGCCATCAGTTGCTCCTACTTGGGGCTTAAAATAGAAGGTGCCTATCGTATTCCAAGGGTTCATATTTCAAAGGGGGTATTAAATTTGACAGACAGAGAGATAACAGCTTCAAAAGAGCTCAAGTTCGCAGGCGAAAATATGTTCAGCGATTGAGAAGGATTTTGAGTTGGCAATTGAGCCAGTCTGTTTAAGGTGGCTCAGTCATGCAATACTGATCAATATTGAAGCCTGCTCAAATAACTCATTGTACAAACGCGAGCATTTTGCGGAACAAAAAACATCGCTCCATGTTCAACCAACCACCAACTGGGGTTGACAGCCGGGCCGGGTTCCTGTGCAAATATCAACGTTTTGGGCTGCCTCCCTTCAAACCCAAGCCATTATGCCATGGCAGACTCAAAAACTGCCGGTCTGGCTGATGTGTGCGGATGCACCCAAAACAAGGAAAGAACTACACTGAATGGGGTGGAATCGAATGGGATACTAATTCATGACACTCACAATGACTGGAGATACTATCTATCGGTCTCGGACGACTTTCGAGACTACGCAAGGCCTCACTGGCACTGACTAGTGACTAGTGCGTCGGGTGCTGAGCATCTGATTAGTGAAGTTTGACGCTCAGAAGGTGCCACAGTAAACACCTGGGAACAGTACGATTGACCGCAAACACTGCCAATGCACGGGTTGGCATGGTGAGCTCGGGTGCTCCACTAACGAACGCCCTCTTGACTGCAACAATATAATCTGGGGATGTGCCAAGCAAAAACAGCACGGTGCCCAAATTACTATGACTCACCTAGCTCGAAACTATCTCGAGGGATCTGGAACCTTCAACTCGTGTGAGGCCTCCAGTTTACCCTCAGGCGAGCTCGCTCGGATTAATCCAAGTGAATGAACGAGCATTCCATCTAACGTGTTGGAGCCTCCCACGTAGCTTTTCTGGCGCGTGGTTCATGAAGCAAAAAGGGAAGCAACGAGCTTTGGTTCACCCGCCCACGCAAAGGACACCTTACCTCCTTGAACATTGTTGAACCAAATTCATCGAAAACATGGCCACCATATTCCCGTCCTGTGTGGGTATATGTCAAAACAGGGTAAACCCGAAAATTATGTTCTGTTCGGTTTCCATACAGAAGCCAACCCCGAACCTCAATTTGATTAGACAACCCCTGGAAACAAATATAATAAAAACTCCAGTTGTGATAGATTCCCTTTAGGCAAAAAAGAACATTATTAAGCAAATGGAATCGAAAGGGTAGCCTCGAAACAACACTCCAACTTGGCAAGTGAAGGCCCAATACCGCCAAAATGCCCGCCACAATGGCACCGCTGAGCCGCGCCTTGCGAAGCTCTTCGCTCACAAAGTTGCGGAGCCCCGACTTCCTCAGATCAAGTCCCTTGCTTTGGCTGAAACAATATCCCAAACGAGTCTGGCCATTGGGGGCTTCTTGTAAAGCAAAGTGACCTTCATGCGTGATCTCGTTCTACCCAGTAAGCTCGATATGACAAATCAGTTTCAGGAGAAACAACAACATAAAATGCCAGCGTAGCAAATGGCAGTCATGCGGCAATGTGCAGCACTGTGAGCCACAAGGTCAAAGCCCCCGGGGCGTGACAGTTTGTTTTCTAGGGATTTCTATCTGCATGTTTTACAACACATTCCAAGCACACGATCCCAAGTAAAGGACCTGCATGATGGCTGCTCAGAATCCAATTAATGTGAAGGTTCTTACCATAATCGAAAAGGATCGAAAAGGGCTGATGCTCATAGATGGCAAAACGACAATCATGTCAAAGGCCCGACTCATGAGCGGGAACACTAATGGCAATGTCTACATACAGGCACTGGCAGTGGGTACAGTTGGGTAGTCTCTTTTTTGGGAAAGAGACACATTAATATGGAAGCATGCCAACACGTGGAAGGGTGCCTAGATGCACGCTTCCTCCAAATGTGCCTACGCGATTGCCTATGCTCACCTTGTCGCGAGCTACTTCACCTAGAGATCCTGGTTTTTAGTGGCTGGCCCGCATATGTCCCCATGTATGCTAGGCCTACACGGCGCAGAAGTTGCCTCGACACAGGCCATGTGTAGCATTGAACCCTGCAATTGCAGACATGTACTTTGAATGAAAGAATCCCGGGAACAAATGGGGCCGGTACGCATAGAGTGCTGGACTTGCTTGTAAATTCCCTGCAGCAAATTATAACTGGAACCTGAGGCTCTGCATGCATTGCATTCAGCTGCAGCTGTGATGCTTCCTGCAATGCGTATGCTTCCTTCCTTCTGAGGCCTTGTCGGATGAGCGCTTCCAAACGTTTCAAACACAACAGAAGGCACATGAAAAGCTGCACCATAAACGCGATAATTGTGTTTGTGGTAAAATAGATGACCCCTTCTCATTGGCTCGTCCCCCAAAACCAGCCAGCCTTGCCATTCTCGCCTTTCCTGTCAGAAACAAACCACAACACATCAATGACTTGACTGCCGCGGCGCGGAGCTGAAGCAGCTGGAGATGACGGAGCTGGTGCCGGCACTGGCGCCTGCGAAACGGGTGAACCCGAGTGACCAACCGGAGGCCGGACGAAACCCGAGAGCTCGCCTCTTTGGACGCTGGCGGCCTCGGAGGCGGAGGCTTGCGCCGCCTGCGGTGCGAGGTGCGAAGGTTGCTGATGTCACATGATGTTGCTCACGTGAGCTCTCACCAATTCCCGTTAACGGCGCATTTTGGATCGCCATCTAGGCGCAACCACGGTCCTCTCCAGTGGCAACGGACAATTCAGGGCATGTGGAAGAAACAGGGGTAACATTGGTCACATGCAAAAAACATCAGGCATCAGGCAATCCAACAACTACTCAGTGTATCAAGCTGGCTGCAAGGGCTCTGAAGGTTGAAGCTGCAAATAACAGATTCTTCTGCCTTGTATAATTCCATGGTGTCTTTTTGATGAGCAAAACCCCTTCTCGTGGCTGTGACGTCCCCAAGGGCTGCTCTTTTGCAATTATTTCTGTGGGACAAAATTGTGACTTCGAAAGGAATAGTAATTTAGAAGGGCCTCGCATTTTTCAAACAAAAGAGCCAACAGGGCAGCGGTGCGTTCAACAACAACCGTGACATGCCCCCGCGATTTTTACCTCAGGCTGCAGGCCCTCTCTCATTGCAGCCGCAGCACGGCTCATGAGACGCGAGTGCAGGCGCGCTGCGCGGCGCGTTCTTCGCTGCCCGCTCCTTGCCTCAGAAGCCGTCGACATGATGAGGGTCCATTGGTAACCTTTGAGGATGGCTAGGGGTTTCAAAGTTACCTCAGAAGGTACGAATTCATAGTATATTCCTCCTCGCACATTCAAGTAGTACCTGTGCTTCCTCAGGTAAAGCCACTTCCCCCCTCAAACCTTGGAACAGGCGAAGCATTCCTGGTGATCAGCCACGTGTGATCGTTGGCTGGACCTTGTAGGGTCAACTTCGGTGAAATGGACACGACCGAAGACACGATGGAACGATAGCGGTATGAAATTGAATGGAGGGGCCCTTTGGTAAACATTATTCAAGTGAACATGGTGAACCTATTCTGTTTGGGAAGGTAATGCTAGCGGCGTACCAAACGCCTACGCTACGCTGCGCCATGTGAAAATCCCTACACACGGTGTATGGCAGCCTTAAACTGCCTACGCGCGCCTACGCGTTGCAGTTTGCTCTCAAAGTGCCAACGCAGTGTGTACTTCGTGCCAAGACTTGTATTCGCGCGAGTCGAGCCTACGAGATGCCGACATGAGAAGCGCCCTAGCCGACTCTCAAAAGTGGCTACGCCCGCCAATGCGTGCAATAATATTCCTACGCGGGGCCTGATATGTCCACTCTCCTGTGTTCCTTTACTACCGTCCAGGTTGCGATCCATGTCCACCAACCACTTTTTGAGGTAGTTCCCCATTAAAAGCCATGGCCATATTGTTGCAAAACAGTTCCCAAGGCGGTCCCATATTGAAGCAGCTATCACATGCGGTCAAACTCCTAACGTTGTCCATAGTCATGGTTCCGGAATCGAATTCATTCCCATGCTCGTCTAAAACCCTCGGGGGTCTTTTGACCATGGCACGCATAAGCAGCACCCAAAACACATAAGCAGCGCCCAAACTCTTTGAGTTCGGATTCTACCAACATATTTATAAAGGTTTCTATTTGCCGCACAATCTCAATCCAATCACGTAGTAGAAGTGCCTACCAGAATAACCCTTTGGAATTGATTTTGGGCGCTAGGCGAAACTGGGCTGATCTCTGGGCGCGGCTTGGTTTTGGTCTCGCCTTCTCCTGGAGTCGAAAGAGATGGCAGCGGAGTCAAATGGTAGTGCTTCTTGAGGCTCCTGACCCTTCTCTCCTCAGAGTAACCAAAAGGCTCCTGACGCTATTGCCTTCTTCCCTTTGGGAACATCAAACAATATGGGCAATTTCGCACCAGGAAAAAATGAACCCTCTGATTCTGGCATATGGTTCCACAAATTCCGGGAAAGGGGCCACTATAATATGTGCGTAAGTTGGAAATCCAGTTTTGGGCTTGCCAGAAATGGCCTGCATGAAAAGCATTGTGCGATTGCACACCTATTTCAGGGAAGGTTTGCCTCAAGGAAGCCAGCCTTTCGCACAAATAGTGTCACTATGTCTCAGCAATAGTTGGTGCTTGTACGCTAACCTAGATGGACCCCAGTTCGTCTGCCAATGTTTGCAACAAATCCAACACCTGAAATAAGGAGTCCCGCATTTCACACCTGGAATCGGCGAGCTAAGCACAAAAACGTTGGACCCCACGGTGGCTGCATGCTGGTTTCTGATTGAAACTCTGTCCGGCTCGCACGGGGCTTCGTGTACGTGTGTAGCTCTCTCTGCAACTCGCCGTTCAACTAGCTCTGCAACTTGCACCAAGCCGTGTGCCGCCTGCAGGCGTCGAAAGTTTGACCTCCTGGATGGCTTGAAAAGGAAAACAAAAGAAACACAAACAAACAAACATGTGAAGGCTTGACCCACATGTTGGATTCAATACCAAATCTCAGTCATGGCCCCGGCTGCTCACAAATCAACGACAGGAATCTAATAGTAATAATGCAGCACCTTCGCAACAACAGGTGATTTAAACAAAGCCTCCGGCAGGAGTTGTGAGCAATCAGTGCACTCTACATTGAGCATCGCACGAACCACTGGAAATCCTTCTCACTTCACAATCAAGGGGCTTTGCCAAACTCATCGTTGGCGTAAATGTCAAGGCGCGAAAAACGGAGAACGTAGCGTTCCAGAACAATGGCGATACTTCAGCATCTTGAAGCTACCCTCCGGCGTGCCTCTCGCTGTGTCTCGCCTGTCGCAGGCAACTGACATCGACTGAGTCCAAGTGATGGGATTTCAAAGGGACACGATGCATATTCTGGGTCCAGATAAGGAGCTACAGTTTGCTTGAACTCAAACCCTTGAGCGAACTGGGACTGGCAGCTACAACTGTCGCTGCACATGTTGAAACAAGAGCATCTGAACCTGCTCAACGTTGATAGATTGCTGCAATTGTGCCCTGCTGATGTACATCATAAGATTGCGTGATCGCAGCTAACCAAGTTGCAATACCCTTTGACCCAGTACAACACAAGCTGACGATGTCACCTGGCATGCAACATACATATTAATATATACATACCAAACATGACAAGGCTTGCAATACCGTTGTGCGGCTGCAACATGTGGCCTAGCCAAAAGCTGATATAAGCACAGCTTCGAACGCAGCATTTCGAATGCTGCCGATAGTCCTGTCACGCACTTGCAATGGGCGCAAACCGCACATACACGCTACCCGAACACGCACACACACATGAGACAAGAACAATCCTGCAAGCCCGAACATTGCGCTCGGGGGATACCATGCCTGCAGCATATCCACCGCCGCGGCCTGAATGAGAGACTTCCTTTGAAATCGCCCAAACAAAGGCCAGGCTTCTGAAGTGCTACATCAGTGAACGCTGCCAAGACACCTCCTGGCCCGCCTTAATATGTTGGGCTTATGACCCCCTGATGCAGCGTCTGCAGAATCGTACTCAGTCACATCTCCCCAGAGCCTTCTGAAATATGTCTTTACCAAATTTGCAAAGCTTCCTGACATGGAGCCATTGCTCAGTGGGAATTCGCCAACAACTCCATGATGACCAGCCAATGGCGAACATTACCTGCGTCAAGCCTCAAGCATCAAATTCCTTGCTGCAGTGTCTGCTGCTTGAGGCTTACCAGCACTCACAAACGCAGCGCATCACCTTTCGAGATGGACCCATGCATTCTGTGGCGGCAATCTTAAAGCCCACCACATAAACAGGAAAACCTTAAAAAACACTTTGCCGACCTAAAGCAAACACATCAGGGACATACCAATTAACCATATAGAACACTTGGGTTGTCTTTTGGAATTGGCCACAAAAAGGAAAGCATTCAATGTTGAAACCCCGCCCCATGGTTGAACAATGTTCAGACACCTCGACAAAAGCGGCTTCTAAAACACACCTGCCTAAAGCCGTGCCCCTCTACTTCAGAGCGGGCTCGCTTTGCGAACTTGGGACAACTGCCGGGAGCCCTTGGCCAAAAGCGGCCGACCAATTTCTCAGGGCCCCAGCCGGGCACCTGAGCCCGAGATTCCGAGCCGACTCAGCGATTTCCATGAGTATGGCTAATTGAGGATTGGTGGATATCAGAAAACGGGGATTTGTGTCCAATGTTCGAGGGTATTTCCCATCTATAGTCGAAGCTAAATCTCGGCAATCTGCAATTTGTCATCAGTTCAAGTGCATTTCAATCAGCAAGTCTGGCTGACATCGGTTGCCAAATGATCTCCAAGGTCCAAGCATGGCTTCCTTTCGGACCATACTTCAACTCCGGGGTCATGGCACCTTCTTGTCCTGAAAACTCTCACCATGTCAAGTTCGCGAAGGGTGGACGACTGGCACCACAAAAGAACTGACCATGTAAGTCAACTACAATCCAAGTCAGCTGTACCAGTTCGGCAAGTTTGGGGCGGCCTGGATATACAAATCCCTGCGTAGATCGCTGGGGCGGTGATGCTCTGTGTTTCTTTCAGGCCGACGGTTCCAAGAGAACTTCACAACTTTGCTAAGATCGCCAGATCCATCCAGGGAGTCACGCCGAAGGGAATGAGAGAATTCCCCAGGCCAGACTTGGACCCCCTGCGAAAGGCTAACTAGCCTGAAGGACAACTGAAAAGGATACACACACACACTGCTCAAAACGTTTCACATACTCATCACCCCCGAGTCCAAAGATCTGGCGGAAGTGCAATAAAACCAAAGACCCTGATACAAACGAATCCTGGCAAGAGAGTTCTTGAGGGAGTCAAACAGAATCTGGACTGGAATTCTCAAAGTCATCAACTGCAAAACAATAGCAGCATGCTTCATATGGATGACTGACTCCACCAAGCCGTGAGGGTTAGAAAGGAATACCCTCCCACCATGTCATTCCGGGTCTGATGTTTCTAACTGTGCACCGGCTGCACCAAAAAGTAACATTTTAGATTCGCGGCCAATGCTGCACAGCGCTATCCCAAAACGTTGCTTCGACATGTTGCTCGGAATATGGCAAGGAAAAATCATCGTTGGATGCCGCTTGTACATTAACTGACAAGTACATAATGCACATCATTGCCAGGACACACAATGACATTAGACCCGACCACAGAGTGTTTGTCCAACATGCATGACGTGTGACAATACTAGACTCTTACAAGGCCCAGGTATGGAAGGCAAGGGCTGGCAGCACAGTTCAATGTTCACCGATTCACTAATCGCTATGAACCTGAGTGGAAACGTAAGTCCAGTTCTCATTGGTCGCTGCTAACAGGCGCGCAGTGAATTTAAGCGTGAACATAGTAAACCAAACGACAAATAACTCAAACCACATGGGGGGAAGACTTGCTGATGATGGCAAACCCCAGCGGTGTCCAACTCAAATTGACAGCGAAGAAGCCTTGGACACATCAATGTCGACTCACGGCCGGTGAATTCGCCTCATTCAAGGAGCTGAGACGCTGAGACGCCCGGCTGAAATGCCGATGGCAGGCCTCGGATCCAGCAGACTTCAGCAAACCTGGGGGCAAGATATTGAAACAAAACATGGAGGGCAAACACGGCTTTACCCTTTATTCCTAGGTGCACAAGCAAGTACTCACCAGTTTGCAAAGGAGGCAGTGATAGTAGCAAAAGCGGCAGCAGCTGTGGCGGAGGCGGCGGCCACAAATAACAACTAGAATCATAATGGTAATAGCAACTAGCAGCAGCAATGGCGGCAGCGGAAGCAGCGGTGGTGGTGGTGTCACTGGGTGACCGTGTTATGCACCAAGTCCATATTTTATGCCAATAAGTTTCTTGTTGTCATGTAGCTGTCATTCCTGAGTGCAATCACAACTGAGACCTGACAGCCATATTTGGGTGTAGCTAAGCACAGGATATGTGGGTGTAGGCCATGCCACAGCACATTGAGCCCATGGCTTCAAATTGGTTTATGAAAATCCTTTTGCAGTTGAAACCCAATCACTGACATCATGTGGCAAATATGTTGAAGGTGGAACTCTTTTGACAATTCAGCTTGCGCTGCTGAACCAGGCAAAAAGATACACAATTGGTAAGTCATGCGTAGGTAGTGAACGTAGTGCAAGTTTGTGGCAGTTGCACGCTCGCATTGCTACCAGGTGACAAAAGGTCATATGCAGGTGATTTGCTTGTGTCTGCGTGCCTAACCTTGGGCTGCAGGCACGTTTACTGCCCAGCGACGTCAAGTACGTGCACGTGTTGTCTTGTCTTGGTCAAGAGTCGATGACTCTGCAGCTACCGTTGCACATTCATGGTGGTGTTTAAGACGTATTATATTATGTTGATCCATGCCTAAGTCCTAGGAACAAAGTTGTTAGAGCAAGAATATTGATATACACGAGGATGTCCGAATGATCCCAAACACGGGACGTTAAGACGACGGAACTACAAAGGGCAATGCCTTCTCAGCGTCATGTTTGCAACCGGGAACCATTTTCTGCAGCGACTGTTGCAACTGCACATCGCAATGCTGGATCTGATTTGTCATAGGTTTGTGAATGACTCCTGATACGTAATATGCAAGGGCGTTCAAGCGGCGTGTGGAGTGCTACAGTCTGTGCACAACTTCTCTGGAAGCATGAGCTGCTTCCTGCCTTTTGCGGTTTTGGTCTGAGTAATCATGTCAACAATCATCCAAGGCCCACACGAGCCGAGCTTGGTATTCATTTCCCTAACTGGCCAGGCTATCTGCTTGTAGCCCTGCTTACCCCTTGCAAGTTTGCGAGCGAGGTCTGTGAGCGAGGTCCGTTGTCATTCCCTTGGCACCAACCAGCAATTAAATTGCCTCATTGAAGAGGAGATGAAATGCCGGAGAAAGTGCGGGGATAAAAGCAAATCTTCCCCCCGTTGCCCAGTGCGCGTGGTGAAACATGGACCCCCTTTTTGGTTGGCCATTAAGGAAAAAGGGTGCCAGCGAACATCTGGGTTCCGTAATCCCTGGACTTCCCTGCAAAAAAGAAGCTTCCAGAACGTTTATCCTCTCCCAGAAGACATAGACGCTCACGCAACAAGCCCGATAAAACTAGGTCTTCCCTGTTGAAATCGTGTGTTAGTTCTCATGTCAGCCTCGGAAAGGCTCTTTGGTTGTCGCAGCCCTTGTCCTCCCTGCGGCCATGCTGCAACTTGTCCGGCACGGAAGCGCTTTGGCTTCCTGTCCAAGGTCATAGGATTCAAACCCGCCGTACCCCCACCGGCCTGGCTTCTAAAAAGACCCCAAGGTCTTAGGAAAGGGGTATTGAATTTGGGAGGGGGGCTTGATCCGTCATGAGTCTTTGCTCGGACTGACTCAGACCTGCGAAAAATTGAACTCTTGCCGGTCAAGAGGAAACATCAAGACAACCACAAGGGCAAAAAGTTTGAACGTTGGCTATGTCTAGCAAGGTTGAAAGGATGCGATTCGTGGAAATGCGTGCGTCCCTAACCAGAAATCCACATGGTGGGCTACTGAGAGGTCAATGACCATTGCTGCCAACAGGTGAACATGTCTGTTCACCCTGGTGCATGTAAGGGGCTCTAAAAGCAAGAGATAGGCGGAGCCCTGCAGCAATCCCTTTTTCTGTAGCCGGCCGGTCTGATTGGAAGCCTCCTTCAGGTACTTCCCCCGGACTCAACGAGCCTGGAATTCCTAAGATCAGCTGGCTTCCTTTTACTGGCTTCGAATCAAAGTGCAGCTCAAGTCAAAGGATAAAACTCATTGGGGAAGATACGGGTGAGTCTCTCCGTTGTATGCTTCCGAGGACATGCTTCAGGATGCTTCAGGGCCCCCCAAAACCAACATGCGTCGAAACAGATGCCTCCAAAGCCTCCAAAAAGATACCTCCATAAATATCCTGATCGACAAACAAACCCTGCAACACTGGCAAATGAATATCAAGAGGACCAAATGTAGCCTTTGGCTGTAAAGGTCCTGGATTGGTTCACGCATGGAAATCTTTGGGCCCTCCAAAAACACACCGAGGGCATTTGCCACATTGAATGTCAAACCTAGCTTGTCTTCCTTCTAAAAGACTCCAAGCTTGTGGTTTGGTGCCTTTATTTCTGTTTGTACCCTCTTTTATAACAATCATGGAGGTGGGCGATTGGATGGATTTGGAAGACCATCTTGAAAAGGCCCCGAATGTCGAGCTCCATTGTTGGAAAAGGGCAATCAGTATTTACTTGGGGGAACCCCAGTAAATCATAACTCCTAATTATCAAGCACAGCTCACCTCACACGGACCCAAAGGGTGATGCCTAAAACCTCAAAATTGGAAAAAGCGGACCCTTGGATCACCTTGGGTGGCGCCAAACCACCTCCCCCCCCGCCCCGGTTGCATTTGCCTGGTGGAGGCAAGCTGCCCGCTCGCCTCAGCGAGTGCTTCCCCCCGCCCCACCTCCGAATGGGAAGCTCGAAAATGGGCTCCTGCCTGCAACCACAGCGACCCTACGGGGGTAACAGGCTACAAGAGAGGGGGGGTTGAATCAAATAATAGATCCCCAAAGAAGTAGCCTGCATCAGAAGCGCTCGTTTTTCTTTGCCCAGCCTTGTGACTACAATCCAATTCATTGAGCTCGTTGGGAAGCAGCTTGTTAACTCCGAGTTCCCTAGAGGTCCATCCTTGCCATGTCAAAACTCCTTTTGTGGGGCATGGTTCCATGAATACCCTTCCAACAGCTTACAATAATCATCTTGAACCCCTAAAGAACACATGACCATATCTACAAATTCCAAGTAAGCAGGTCGTATGACCATGGCAAATTTTCTCCAAAAGTAACATCCATACCTCACTAGACTGCTGTCTTGGCTCACCAATGGGGTGCGCAGAAACTCATATGTTCTGATTCGGTTTCAATACATAATATATTTTTTGGACATCCCAAACATGAGAATGGCAAATGGTTCACACAGCGTCACATCGCAACTCTCCGCCCCTGCCTGCCAGGCTTTCCGGCATCCTGAGAGCGAGAAGCTCAAGGCTCGGCCGCTTTCAACAGAAGATGTGACCATGACGCGCCTGAGATTGCTACAAGTTCAATCGCCCACATAATTGGACCAAGAAATCTGGGCAATGATTCGTGTCCCTTCTTGCAGCACACATCACATGGATGTTTTGCTCGTGCGCACCTCAAGAGACACGCTTTCATGTCTGACCCACGATTCGGAACTTCCGCCCCTTTCAGATCCTGGGCGCCCAAACCGGCGGAGTCCTCAGCGCGGAAGATCGCGGAAGCATCTCCCGATTGTTCCGGTTGGCTTCGGCTGTTGCGGAAACAGGACAAGGCATTGCCAATATCTTACGGGCAACTTACACCTTGATCTTCATGTGGCATGGTTGTTTTCTGTTCCCACCCCCCAAGACGGCAATTTTTGAGGAACGCACGCTTTTTTGGAAACGAGCGCTGTGTTGGGACCTTGTGCATAAAAGTGTGAAACAGCGAGATTCCGGCCAAACAATTAGGCCACACAACGGCGCAATTTCGCGCAACCGGGCGCAATTTCAAGAAGCGTACTTTCTAGCTGTCCCTCTTCCTTTCCGTATTGAGGAAAGCTATCACTTTTGAGCAAACGTCATGGTTTTCGCGAAAACGGACGCTTTTGTTTCCAAGCGGGAAACAAGGTGCAGTTGGAAGATCCAGGCAAGTATCTAAGGTTTATTGTTGCAGCCATACATTCAAGGCGCCCATATTTGACTCCAACAGCCGTCGAGAAAGGAAACCTTGACTGGTCAAGATCATCTTTCATTGTCTGCCTCCTGATGCATATAACGTGCCACCAGTCAGCAGGTATGCGCATTGTTGATGAATTTGTGAGCGAAAGATGGAGAGTTAGAAAGGGAGGGAGGGTTCCAACCTTGAACGGGCTACTAACTTGGTTGCCTTGGGTTCCAGCTACCCGAACAGGTTACGCCAGGACACCGAGAAGTAACTTCAAGTCCCTTGGAAGAACCAAAGCTAAAAGCAAGCAATCCAAAGCTCTGGATCAGCCCGGGCACAGCTGCGGCAGCTTTGTCCGAGCCTAGCGGAAAGCATCGTGCCCCAGCATTGCACTAGGGGCTCAAGTGTGCTGAATACATTGTGGGGACCCTGTTTCTTCAACCGCCAACCAGTTGCTGGGTTGAGTCCTGGACACGTCAGTCCAAACAAGCAAAACGCAGGTTCACTTAATCTCTTTCTCTCTCACTCTCTCACTCTATCTCTCTCTCTCTCTCACTCACTCACTCACTCACTCTCTCTCTCTCTCTCTCTGCCGCTCTCTCTCTCTCTCTCTCTCTCTCTCTCTTTTCAACACAGTTCAGAAGGTGACACGTGTACTTAGATCTCAGCTGGTCTTGGGGGGAGGAAACAACATGTTGATCATGAGTAGCCTCTCTTGACTCGGGCTTGCTCACAAGAAGCGTAAGTTCAATGCGACGCTCTTACCAGAGCTGCAGCAGCTGATGCTGTCTGCAGCTCATTATTGTTGCTGCATCTGGCAGCAGAAGCTTTGAGACAAAGTTCTATGTGGCTGGCAAGAGATCTGGTTGGCCTTTGCGTCCCGAATGGCATCGAGAAAGCAGACCAAGGATCTGACAGGCCAACACAGCTAACCCTTTTAGGTTTCATGCCATATACAGGAACCCTGCTGACCACACACCCCAAGAACCCATCAAAGGGCTAGAGGTTCACAAGCCGTGTTGAGGACAAACAAGGCCCAACATGCTTCGGGGGGTCAACGGGTTTGGTGTTTGGGTCTCTGAAAAAGCCTACTGTAGGGGCCTAAATCATTAGTGGGGTTGGGTACTTTACGGCCACAATGAATCATCGTAGAAGTAACCCAAATTTCTTGCAAGGCCCTTCAACCCAAGCACCACCCCACCTCCATCGCGGACCGGCTGCGTGCCAAGGCCATCGGTTCGGGCGCATCTTTGGCGCCGGATTCGTCCAGGGGCTTCGGGGTCGAAATAGGCAGATTTAAAACACACGAAAATTTGATAGATTCCACATAACCCGAACGCAGAGTGATTGCCCAAAGCTAATTGCCGTTTTGTGTGTGAGCGCATGTCCCTGCCTATCCGTTTGCATGTCTGTTGGCCCAGTGACTTCTCCTTCCATTCCCTATGATTGCCTGACCGCGTGCTGATCCTCCATGTCTCTCTTCGTGCATCTATTTATCTATCTGTCCATCCGTCTGTCCATCGATTCACCGTCTACCCACCTATCTATCTACCTACCAGCCTATCTGTCTAGTCCCGCCCTTCCAAGCTTGATCTGCTCTGGCTAACCATCCTAACCAAACCCATCTTTTGGGTGTTTCTGTCGCTGTTTATCTATCTATATTTCCAACCAATCTATCTAACTGCCCGCCTGCAGTTAAATAAATGTCCTCTACGTCTTGATCTGTCGATCTATCTGTCTGTCTGTCTGTCCCTCTCTCCCTCTTTCTCTGTCTCATCTCCCGGCCTGTCAATATCCACTATCTATCAATGGCAAACCTAATCCAATCCAATCTAGCCTATTCATTCACCTTCTCTAATCTATCCATACTTCTGTCCTATCTAAAGTATTCAATCTGTCCACCGACCTAGACTTAAAAGCAAACAATCGACCTAACTATCGCTTCGCTTTTTCCATCTTTCTATCCATCTACCTATCTCCCCGTAGCTAGCTATGTCCTGTCTATCTAGCGAACTGTGCATCTGCTTATCTATCTGACATCCTTCTATTTGTCTCTCCCTCTATCTAGCTGTCCATCTGACTGTCTATCCGCCTATCTATCCTTTTATCTATCAACGATCCTGCAAGTCGTGCTCTAAGGTGCTCCGCCACGAAATCAACGCTCCAAAGTGCTGTGACTGCCACGAAATCTGCACGTGACCCTCCAAACAATTGCGCCTGCCAGGCAAATCAGAGCCTGCGGTGAAACATGCTCCAAAAAACTGCTGCGCCCCCGACAAAATTTGATCACGGCGCTCCAAAGTGTTGCGCCTGTCGTGCACAGTGAGATTGACACGAAAAACTCTCAAAGTACCGCGCCTGTCACGGAATTCAACTTTGACGAGTTTGCGATGTGTGTCAGGAACTAGTGCGGGACTGCAGGTGCCTGCCAAGCAAGACACCTCAAAAGGATCGCCAGTCAATCGCAAATCACCCTGGGAAGGCGACACATTTCCGAATATCCTTCCAAAACACTGCGCCTGCGCAGCGAAACGGCACGCAACCTCGCAAAAGCTACAATTTGCGAACGGGCGGGACGAAGATAACATATTGCAAGTCATGCAAATTGCATATTCTGAGCCTTGCCCAACGGCACGGCAACTTTCGCCACCTGCAGCCACTGGCGAACACGTGCGAACGCTTGCGAACACTGTGGCAAACGCATGCTGACCCCGTTGCTAGAACGGGGACCCTTCTGCAACACATTGGGAAAGCAACTTCATCAGACATGCCCTCTTGGTGTTTAACATGGCTAGTTATCGCGGAAAATGAAGAATACCAAAGGTTGTTAAGACTTAAGTCCGGCAGTGAATGTTGGTCTTACCTGCTCTTTGGCACCTGCTCGGGTGTAGTGCAAATGTTTGATGTTGCTGGCCCAAGATAGTAGAAGTTCATACAGCACATGCGTTTGCGTAGTACAAAGTTTCCAACTTGCTAAGACTGGCACTTCATGTTGCTCTTTGTCTTGCTACCGGCCTGTTCTTAGGACGGGTACCTGGAATATGGTAGCAGTAAAAAATACTCTTAAAAAAGTAAACAAATAAAAATTGGTCAACAAAAAAAACTGTGGAAGCGGTTTGGGTAAGTTCGTGCGACCACAGGTGCTGCAAGAATGCGCTTTGCACTTAGCACCAACTATGCGAGGGCTGTCTGTATGCTGGCTGGGTGACAACTCACTCAGTGCTAAGCGGTCTCTTGCTATGCTTGGCTTTGCTGTCCTTGGCGCGCTTCGAACACACATCGTGCCTCAACCCTTCGACGCAAATAACATGTGCGTGGTTGCACTCAATACGCTAGGGTCTAGCGTTGTCCTTTGTCAATAACATCAAAAGAGAAGTGTGACTGCAGCTAGTGGGGCGCTACAAAACGGGCTTGCAAAAAATATACTTATGTCTTTCATGACTTCTCCAGCAAAAGCAACAGCCTGTTGGATGCACAAGCCTACCCCCAACCATCCCAGCATTTCAAGCGGACGCCACCTTGCGGATCCACGTAAGAGGGGGCCTCCTCCCTTTTATGACCGAAACGTGGATCGATAGCCTGTGTATCGTGCATCAAGCGTAGCCATTTTCTCAAATCTTTCGGACCCCTATCCAGCAGTGGCTGAGCCGAAACTGGTCCCTTTCACGAGACCTGAGGATGTTTGCAGGTACTAGAAGGAAAAGAGGTCGGAGGGTAGGGTAGATCCAAACTCAGTCATGATCATAGGCAAATACTGTGTGTGTCTACGTAGTAGTAGGATAGTTGTTGCTAGCAACTGTCTTCGAGCCTGGCAGAGGACCCGACACATTCTCACACGAACACCGTACCAGCTTCATGGCACATTTCCTAGTGGCCTGTCTCTACCGTACAATCAGAATGACTTGTGATACAATGCTGTCCGACACGGGTTAGACGCACACCGCCACTATTTGTTCATGTGTCACAAGTCCACCACGTGCAGCCGAAAAGCTCGCTCGCACTGGTTTTTACTTGTCCCGATGCAGCCAATCCTCCGAATGCGCCAAACTCTAAAGAACATGCCCCACCGCTGTCACAATGTGTATGATGCCTGACTCTTGTTTCATCCAGTTCGGCACGGCTCATGGGTAACGGACGCAACACCCTCAGTCTATACCCTTGTACCTAAGTTTAAGGGAAAACCAAAAAGAAACCACCATTTTGAGGGTCCCCTATGTTGGCATGTGCACCCACATAGTCAACTACGAAATCGAACCTTAGGAGGTTGATTATAACAGACGCCCAGCCAGAGGCTCATGCCCTGCTTGGTGTTATCGACCGCAAAATCTCGGCACCTCGATGCGAGTAAGGCGCGTTTGGCTTTGCTCCGAGCGGGTCGACAAATCACCTAAACATCGTCTCGTTGTCTAGCATCCACTGTCACGCCAGGGAGCTCAATCAAAAAACCCTTATTTCTCCAGAAAAAATGAAACATGTCATCTTGACCTGTCAGTTTTCGTTTTTGTGGGTGTTCAAAAGTAGGCGGACACAAAGCTCAAACTCGTGAAGCTCGTAAGGGTCGTGCAGCAAGGCGTATGAGACACATTCACGTCTTGGCTGGCAAGCTTCAAGCTGGTTTGGCGTAGGTGGGTTCATCATTTAATCATTTAGCACCTCTCCCACCAAGCACAGAAGTGCACAAATCCCTTTTGTAGGACTTCTTGACCATGCTTGTTCTAGAAAGGCTGACCCCCCTTTGCTGGTCTGTATCAAAATGGCAATAAAAGGGGGGGGACCATATGTGCGAGCACTGTGGTATTGCTCAAGATACTGACAAGACCGGTACAAGATTCGAAACTGTCAGCTAACACTAAGACTTGGATGTTTCTCAAACAAATCCCAGTCTCAAACGACAAGTTCCCTTTTTGCTTTAACCCGAGCCACCTCCCCTTTGGTGTCCGCAGATAGCAAGCCAAAATAGGGCCAACGTCAGCTCAAAGGAACAGGAGGTGGGGGTGGGAGTTCTAGGCTGTGGCGTCCCCAACACCATCCTGAGAAGTCTATGAGCCTCCTGATACGCCACAAAAGGGTGGTCCCTCATTTTGACACTTACTCAACATCGGGAAGAGTTTGGGCTGGCCCAAGAATGTGCCACGCAAGCCACGCAGATTCCTACTGTACCCGGTGTTCACTCATTCACCTTTCAAGCAAAACAGTATTCATAAGACATCGATGGGTTTCTGAGCCGTCCATTTTGCCTGAGGAAGGCGTACGCGGTCAAGGTCAACCAATAATCAGTGCAGTTAGGCCCCTGCCGCTGCAGTACATGCAAGTTTGTACCCTGCAAGCACTGCCGTCACGATGCTGAACAAAAATGCATTCCTTTCGCAGCCTCACGACTGTGACCGTTCCAGTGTTTCAATCAAATCGTGAGTGCTAGCTCGACCATGATCGTGACGACAACAACGACGCCAATGATAACAGCAAATTCCTACCACCAGCACCAGCACCACCCCGACGCTTGTGGCCACCATGACCACAGCCCACTTCCACCTACCACTCCGACAACAAGCAGAGTGCATGAAACCACCACGGTCACTGAGCTGAAATCCTTGATGCAAAAGAACACAAGTTAAGGCGAATGCTTTCAACAAAACAGCTTCAGTCACAATGCCCGTATTGAGTATGTGGTTGTGTGGTGAATGAGTTCTTCAGCTGCAAAGGTCTCTGTCCATGGTTTGGCATTTCAGGCATTGTTGGGTCGTGCTTTTACGGAACTCAAACAACCAATCAGAGGTGCCCATCCACATGCAGAATCGTGCATCATGTCCAATGTCCTTTCTTCTGCCCACCAAACGAAGCAAACAAACCGAACAAACCAAACAAGAAGCCGCCTACCTACCTGGCCACCCGCTCAGCACCCTCTCCCCTCGTCCTGTGTTCTCTCCGTTCCCTCCGTCGCCTCATCGTCTCCTACGACGTCGGCTTTTGGGAGGTGGAGACCTGGAGTCGTCATAGCTATAGGAGTCGTCCCGGCGCCTGCGCCCAAACGGCAGATCACCCGCAAGGGTGTGCTGAAAAGTCGGATGTGCAAAGTCGTGTCCTGATGCCCTGGCAGCTTGAACCTTTCTCCATGACCAATCCCGGGGGTGTGCTAGCAAGCCAACCTGTTGTCATGGTCCTTCCTCTCTGGATGGGTCGGAGGCCTGAAAAGGAAGAACAATGCTTTGTGTGTGTGTGTGCGTGTCTGTTTCAATGTCTGATCCAACATTGATTCCTTTTGGTAGGCCTCTTGTTAGAGCAAATTGAAGAGGGCTAGTCTACGCCGATTAATTGCGCACTCTGCTGACATTGACATTTGCCGTATGCCCGATGGTGCACTGTTGATCCCCTCGCCAATCGAACTTGGGCAACGTTCATTGTTCACACGACAGTTGGCCTGCTCAAAGCGAACTATGTTTCATATGACTCCTATTTTGCTTGTCCAACTCATTTTCACTCATGGGTCAGTCAACCAACTGGCTGCAGTGGACATGGAGAAAAACAAACTCTCATTCTTGGTAGTTGACCCCTTTAAGGGAACCCCCTCGAACAAAAAGAGGGGATATCCCACTGGGTAATTATGTTTTTGGCTAAGAGTGCCCTTCTCACCCCCTGGTACCCGGTTTAGAGCTCCCCCTGATTTGATATCTACTTCGCTGCTTTTATGGCTCCCGCCTGTGCCGTCGGTGGCGCCGGCGCGAGCGTGAGCGGGACTCCTTGTGCCGTCGCTCCTCCCGGGTGGTGCGGCCTTGCGCCACGAATGACATCAGCCATGGTCAACATGAACCGCCCATTGGCCCATTGGCTTAAGTCTACCTTGAGGTAATCAAACAGTGAAACCCTGAAAATGGGCGTCTCTTCCGCTTTTGTGCGGAAAACTAGCGAGTCCCCGTTCTCTCGCCCCTCCCGAACGGAGAACAACAAAGAACTTTGACCGAACCGCACATATATGGAAACCAACCCCCAGTTTTTCCCTCCAACCAACACCATTTTGGATTCTTCTGGGTCAGGTCCTGCTTAAATCTAGGAAGCCTCGAAACTTTGAACCTAAAGTAAGCTCACACAGAGACCCAGAAAAAGAATCAAACACAAAAAAAAACACGCCACCAACACGTTTCGAATATTGGCTTCCTGTTAAGCAACTTGCAGGGGGCGAGACATGCCCACTTGACAAATCCGATCTGTCAGAAAGGTTTCTGTTTTGACCGCGACCGCTTCAGAGAATGCAAGAAACTCTCAGGGATCCAGGAGGAACTCTTTGGGAAGTTGGCTGAACACTTGTCATCTAACTGGCTCGTTCGCAACTACGGACCCTTCCAGATGTTTGGGTCTCGTGTGTGGGCTGTGCTGTGTCCATTCGGACACCAGTTGGCTGGGATAGTTCATAAATTGACATCCCCAGTGCAGTATGGACTCAAATAGAGAGAACACTACTCGCACCTAATCACCTGCGAACCACGCAAGAATCCTCAATATTTGGCAACAACAGTTTTTAACGTTTGACAGTCCTCATGAAGAGGCTCCAACATTTCCATTGACATGATTGGTGAGAGAGGATACCTTTGTGTGGATGATGCGTCTCAAGGATTCTGATCCGCCTCAACCGCACAGATTATAGTCCTTGGACCTTTGTATTGCAGATTCTGATCGGCAAAAGGGATCTAAAACTTATGGCAGGTTGGTCAAGCGCTTAAACACTGCGCCTTCTCTTTGTTGCACCTTCGAATGAACCCGAAAGGAGGGGTCATGAGCCCAAGGATCTTTAAGCATGACTATCCTATCCTGATTGAGAAATAGTGATCGCTGTTCCGAGGAATGCCCAAATTGATCTAACGCAGGTTTGAAAGAACAGGAAGGAAACGCAGAATTCTGCGCATTCGCGTATGTACGTATACATATATATATATATATATATTATGTATACATATATATATATACCGCAGCACGGCTGGTTGACCGTCACTGACTGCGGTAGTTACTGCGGCGCCTCAACGGGAGGGGGGAGGGGGGGGGGCGCGGGGGGGGGGGGGAAATGTCGTGCTTTGTCGACTGCGAGCTTCGAGCCTTGCTTTGCCACGTTTCGCACGTTTTGCAACATGTGCTCCGCGGTCGTTATGGGCTTTGCTTCTAACCTCTCTGCACATGTCGTCGGTTGAAGCTTTGGCAATCATCATTTTGCTGCGTCTTTGTGGATGGCGAGTGCAGCATGTCACGCTCTGTTGCCAGTTTTTCCTTTGCCTGCTGCAGGAACTTGACGAATTTCACCAGGCCTGTTTCCGCATAAATGAACACATGTAGTCCTGTGTGGTCCTCTTTCGGTATGAATTAGGATCACAAGTGTTTTTTCGCCCACCGCACACTGAAGAAAATAGCCCAGAAAAAGATGGCGACTGAAAGTCGCACATCCTTCCAACTAGCGGCCGGAGATAATAAGGCCGAGGCTCGCTTGGGAGCGGTGAAGGGAAATATGCGAAGATTGGGCTTGTTAGGGTGCTGGAACGGTTCTTCGAAGAAGAAGCGTTGTCAAGTGCTTGCGTCCGCTGCTCTACACAGAATGCCGGGATTTAATAGCGTGGTACTGGCTTGCAAAGCCTACCGCCTGGCTCTTTCACAAGGGAAAGTGAAGTGAAAGTTACGTTGCAGAGCATTTGCCTTGGTTGAACGCGTGAAAAGATGGCTTGGGATGCGTGGTAAATGTAGTAAGATTGGAGCCGACGGAAAACCATCCGTCTTGGGCGTGTATATGTATATATATATATGCTACCCCCCCCCCCGGTACCCAGGTTTGGGCTTGGTTCAGATGTGCTTTGACCGCGGAAGCAGGCAGGCAGGCAGAACAGAGGAAGGAGGTTTGCCTCATTGAAGAAAGACGCCTTGGACGTGACCCATGCGCTTTTTCAATGGCTCTTCCACACAAAATTCAATTCACATATCTTCCCGCACAAACCATGCCTTCTTTCAAAGGCTCTTCCACACAAAATTCAATTCACATATCTTCCCACACAAACCATGCCTTCTTTCAAAGACTCTTCCACAGAAAATTCACACATCCTCTCACCCAACACATGTCTTTTTACATGTCCTCTTTCAATGAAACAAAGGCAGCATATGTGAAAGAGTTGCCAAGGAAAGTGAACCTTGTGTAGAATAAAGGCAGGCTATGGCTGGGACAGTTTGTGTTACATAAATGGTGGTTTTACATGATATTTACTGTCTTTTGCTGTATTTGTATGAATCACTGTAACCCTGACTCTTCCACAAAGACTCACATATCATCTCACACAAAACATGTCTTTTCAATAACTCTGTTCTACAGAAAAATTCGCATATCCTCTCACCCAGAACATGCCTTCTTTCACAAAGGTTCACATATCCTCTCACCAAAACATGCCATTGGTCAATGGCTCTTCCACAGAAAATTCACATATCTTCCCACACAAACCATGCCTTCTTTCAAAGACTCTTCCACAGAAAATTCACACATCCTCTCACCCAACACATGTCTTTTTACATGTCCTCTTTCAATGAAACAAAGGCAGCATATGTGAAAGAGTTGCCAAGGAAAGTGAACCTTGTGTAGAATAAAGGCAGGCTATGGCTGGGACAGTTTGTGTTACATAAATGGTGGTTTTACATGATATTTACTGTCTTTTGCTGTATTTTTATGAATCACTGTAACCCTGACTCTTCCACAAAGACTCACATATCATCTCTCACACAAAACATGTCTTTTCAATAACTCTTTTCTACAGAAAATTCACATCTCCTCTCACCCAGAACATGCCTTCTTTCACAAAGGTTCACATATCCTCTCACCAAAACATGCCATTTTTCAAAGGCTCTTCCACAGAAAACTCACATATCTTCACACACAAACCATGCCTTCTTTCAAAGACTCTTCCACAGAATGTTCACATATACTCTCACACAAAGCATGTCTTTTCAATAACTCTTCTTAGGGCGCAACTCTTGAACAAACAACTCTTGTGGGTGTCTATATGTGGTTTTCCTCCTGGTTTCCCGTTGAAATCAACCAAAAAGGGGTTCCCCCCAAACAAGGGAACAGTGATCGGCTTGTTCCGTGTGGTCTACAGACAATTCTTTCCTCCTCTCACCGAAAACATGTCTTTTTGCATGCCTTCTTTCACAAGGAATCACATATCCTCTCACCAAACCCATGCCCTTTTTCAATGGCTCTTCCACACAAAATTCAATTCACATATCTTCCCACACAAACCATGCCTTCTTTCAAAGACTCTTCCACAGAAAATTCACACATCCTCTCACCCAACACATGTCTTTTTACATGTCTTCTTTCAATGAAACAAAGGCAGCATATGTAAAAGAGTTGCCAAGGAAAGTGAACCCTGTGTAGAATAAAACCAGGCTATGGCTGGGACAGCTTGTGTTACATAAATGGTGGTCTTACATGATATTTACTGTATTTTGCTGTACTTTTATGAATCACTGTAACCCTGACTCTTCCACAAAGACTCACATCTCATCTCTCACACAAAACATGTCTTTTTCAATACCTCTTCTCTACAGAAAATTCACATATCCTCTCACCCAGAACATCCCTTCTTTCACAAAGGTTCACATATCCTCTCATCATGCTCCGCAAATGGTGCGCAACATTTGGAATTTGTTGCGCAACATTTCCCTGGACCAAAAAACCAAAAACCAAAAAACCAAAGAATCCCAGCCATGGTGGGGGCTAGGATTGGTTTTTTGTTTTTTTTTTTGTTTTTTTGTTTTTTTGGTCCACAAAATGGCCTTGCAGAAAATGCATGAGTTCAATCAAAATACACTGTAAATATCAATGGTTTTGATACATGATGCAACAACACCTGGGTACTGGGGGGGGGGTACCATATATATATATATATATTATATCTAGTGAATGGTTCCACAAGCGTGCAACTCTTGTTCTTGTCGCTTCGCGGTTGAAGACACAGAGCCCTGAGAGGCCGGTGGTATGGCCATTGAATTTGGAGCCACAAACCCAAAAGACAACCGAACGGAAACCCCGCTGAAGATAAGTTGAGCCAAGGCCAGAGTGATTCTTAGCTCCTGAATGCCGATGCTGGGATGCCCACCACCATCGCGGCGGCCCCTGTCTCTTGACCTTGGAGTCGTGGAGACGCAGCTGGCAGTAACTTCTGTCCATGAAGCACATATGAAACTCGGGTGCCTCTACTAAAAATGGGCCAACATTGGAAGCAGAAGCCAAACAAATAAATTGCTATTGCCGAAACGGACACCTGCCTACCCTTCCACCCTCCAACACAGAACCCACCAAACGGTTCCTCGCAAGGGGAACGATCTTCTGAAAGCGTTTACAAGTCACCTCCGGGTCCTTCCGTCCCTGTGGGCCCTGGTCTGTAATGTGTTTGCAGGGTTCAAGGAAAATACTTCGGAAAGAGCGAAATTCGCACTCCTGTGACACAGATGCCCTGCCGACGCTTGTGTTTCAAATAACCATCCACAAGCCATATCTACTTGCAATGAAGGTCTTACTTGTCCAGAAGAAACGCTCTCAAGTCGCACCAGCGCATGGAAAGTGCGCCGCACTTCTTTATAACCCCAGGATGTAAATAACTATATCTTTGCATTGATCCAGAGGGGAGGGTCCTTCGGATTCATCCGAAGTTAACCTCATGTTCGAGGTTTATAACCCACTTGTAACCAAAGCATTCTGTGGCCAAGTGCTCTGCCCCAGCTAAGGTCACAGGCTGCTCGCCAAAGGTGCGCCCGTCCCAACGATAATCCTGCGGCGGAGACCGAGCCTTTTCCCGGCACGGCGATGTTTCGGGTCACTTGATAGAGTCCATACGCAAATTCTTCGGTCGATGATGCTCGATTGCATTTTGCGACTTTCGGTTTGGAATTTCGAATGTAACAATCTGATGAATACGCTCCAGTATCATGTCTTTTCGGCCGTTGCTTACTTGAACTGTTGTGCACAACTTCACACTGGCATGCGAGAATCAAACTGACAGCCCGTCAAACCGCCTGCATGACCATCAGGCAAGCGGACCAATATATTATTCAATATACGTCACGCAGCAGCTAATGCTTCTCATCCAAGAACAGCCAATGCCCGGCTCAACCTAGTCAAGGAAAAGGATGAAACAAGCAGGGGAAGCCTGTGTTTTCGGCCTTGTGTCCCATGTTTACTCACTAGGTTCGACAACTTTTTATGAAAACGGATCGTTTCCAGCCAGGATGTGGGGAAAGAGGTCTGACTGTCACAGAAGCAACGTCATGTTGCAGAGACTTGCAGTGGCCATGGGAAAAGGTCAGCCTTTTCTGGTGGTTGACTTCAAAGCGGCGAGGTGAACCACTAAGCTTCTGGGTACTCTGCCGGGTCTTTTAGTACCTCAGGATGTATACATGTCTGTACTCCCCCCAACAAGCCATCCTGAAAAGGTGCCACCCTGAGGATCCTGCCTCTGAATATGGAGCACACCATATCCATTGTGTCGCTCCATTTAGACCAGAGCAAAAGACCAGACCCTCTCGACGGGTTGAGCCAATGCTTGATTCATTGAAGACTCTAAAGGAAACCCATGGTGCAATGAAATGCGCCGTTCAGTGAAAGTCTCGAAGCCAGCCTCAGCTTGGGGTTCAATCAAGCTACATTTCGCTGGCTAAGACTTTTCAGGGCTTCGGCCGTTCAAGGGCGAGCGCACTTTGTTCGGATAATTTTGGGCAATGCGGCATGTCACGGTATCTATGTAGAACTGAAGTAGAAACACTTCCATTCCAATGATGGTGACAACCTCAACAGCAACCGCGTGTTTGCCGATGAATCTTAGTGTCGAAGCATGCCTTTGCATGCCTTGCATTTAACGTCGAAGTATCTATATCCTAACCCTCGAAGCCTGTGTGGAGCCTGTGTGGCCGAGTCCCAAAACCAACCCAAACGGGTCCTTGGGCCGGCCGGCTTCGCTTTCGGCCTTCCTGATCTGGGCCACCACAAAACCTGGCACGGGTCCATGGCTCGGCTGCTGCGACTGTGGCATCCGACTTGTGTACATCAAGATCAATATGAACAGTCCGCCGATGTTGCTCTTGTTGCAGTACATACAACAGAACGTGGACCGAGTGGGACACGGATGAACACGGGCGCAATCCTAATCAGCACCTTGCCAAACTAACTCAAAACGGAGGGGAAACAGGGGCGGGCAAATGTTGACCTGTTTTGGGGTAATATCCCTTCACTCAAGACGTTTACTCTCCAGCGGCTCCCCTCAGCTTGCGACCTAGCGTCGTTGACGTTCTTTTTCCCAGGACCAGGACGTCTTGCTGGCTCTGTGTTCGGGCTTTGGGGCTTTCTCCCCCTGCTCTGCTTGCGGGCTCAAGTGGGGGCAATGGCGACTGAAACTTTGTGCGACAGAAACAGTGATACCATTGATTGACTGAGCTTGGCAAGGAGACTCAGTCCTTCTTTGATGTAGATTTGTGCCGTTTGAGGCGCTTGTCGTCGTCCTTGAAGCAAGATCCGACCCAGCGATCTCTCTGCGAAAACTATGGGGAAAAAGCCATTGTATCAAATCCGCAACGCTTAAAAACTGCGCTCTCCGTGCCTGCGGCTTGTACAAAGGAAATCATGTTTGCTATACGCTCCCCCTGAAGCATGCGCCGAGCCGCCTCCGCAAATCTCTGCGCTTGCCCCCCTTTCGTTAAATTACATTACATGTGAACGTGGCAGGCGTAGCACTTTCCGCAATATCAGGTATACAGATTTCGTGACATCAGGCGCGGGTTTCTGGTAAGTACGAACGGAATCGCGAAGTACAGTTTTTAGGCGCAGCTCGAACATCGAAACTGTTGCGCACGAAAGTAGCACGCGAAGCCCACCTCTCCAGCTCAATCTCGGAAATCGCAGCTGACAAATTCCAAAGCGGTACGGGAAGTATACTTCTCCGGCTCCAGATACCAAGTATAGTTTCCTTTGGATACGAAAGCAGGATGTGAAGATGTTCGTAAGAGTCAGACCTGCAAACAGTCAGCTACACAGCCAGGCTGCCCAAGTTTTCGCCTGAGTGAGAGTCGCTCCTGGGCTGGGCGACGCAGGTCAGGTCGGGCCGCCGGGCAATTTATATGCGGAACTGCTGGTGCGCGTGACAGATGCAGACCCATCGCAGGTTAGCAATGACCACGATCCTGGGGATGGCACATCGTTTTGTCAACATGCCATTGAAGCATCTTTACAAGCCCGGTTTATGCGGGTCCTGAGCATCAAAGAAGGCTTTCCCCGCTTTCCCTGCTGGGGAAGAAGAAGCCTTTTGTGCAAAGGCGGCTGTGGCAGCTGGACATTACCCCAATTCATGCTCCTGCAAATACACGTCTAAAAGACAAGGTCATGGACAATGAAACCTGACCCACGTGCGCCAAGGTGAAAGAAGCCTTGGCGTCCCCCAGCTTCAGAACGTCTTACTTCCACCACGTGCCGGTTCAGGCCGCGGTTGCGAATGCACACGTGAGGTCGAAAAAGAGAATGCTTCTAGTTTAGATGGTGCTGCAGCCACTTAGACTTGGTTTCAAGTTTGCACCAAACAAGCCAATAACATCTGGAAAATAAAGGTTTGTATTGTTGAAACTTCCACCCACCACCTTGGCCCTCTTCTGGTATTGCGTATTCTCCTCAGGTTGGCGTGCGGATACGCCACTTGAAAGGAGCCCGCCAAAGGGGCCGCTAAAGCAAACTGTTCCAAACCAGGACGCGACAGTCAGCTTCCACGGCAACAGCAACACGGATGGGAACTTGCATCAACAAATGATGCTTATTAATAAATTAAAATTTGGAATGCCATTCATATTTTGGGGCCAGAGATTCATTTCCGATTTGAGGAAGGACTCGTATAGAGCGAATGGATACATGCTGCCAGGTTGCCTGTTTGTCTAATGGCCAAAACTGGAAGCAGGGCGCCCATTTTGCATCAGCCAACATCTCACGAACAGGAAACGCAGCCCCAGGCGCACCGCTGGGGGATCTGCAGTCGTCTGGAAAGCTGATCTTCATGACCTTCTGCACCTAGCCGCGAGTCAAAAAGGTCGCTGGGCTACCCACATTTTTCCTGGTAGACCTTTGACAGATTTGTCAAGCACAACATAGAGCACTCCCAACATTTCGCAACAGGGTTCCCCCCCATAGTTGTCCCCTTTAAACACTCCAACAAAAGGAAACTCGCAGAAACACTGGGCACAAAAGGATTACAGGTGATGATTGAAACCAACAGCGGCACCATAGGGAACGCTGATCCTCGGTAGTCTGGCACATATTAGAGCCCACCTGCAACCAGTTGAACGGAAAGAAGAACAAGGAAACCCTTTTTGGCAGGGTTCACATGTGGCTGTGGTATCCCACCAACAGACCTCGCTTAGTGCACAGCCCTGGGAAGGGAGCCTGTGCACTACTTGGACATTGAAAAGGATGAAGCACGAGCACACAGACCAAGATAATAATGGTATTGAGAGCCTATATTGTAACTGTGCTAAAAAAACTGGACCCACTTAATTCGGTTCACGTACGGCGGAAAACATAACACTGACCAATGCGGCTCTTTACAAACAAGCAAGTTGGTAGCCCGGGCTCACACAGGCGCAACATAGTCAAAAGCAATGAATAGCCAAATATACGCCCACTTTGCTCCATCCCCTCTCTCTTCGTCTTTCTCGGCCCCTGCACGTCGATGGGATGCATATTCTGCATGATCCTGGCCACCCGTTCATCCAGCTTGTTGTCCTCCACAAAGTCCTGGATGTCCCTGGATGGGCAACAAGTACGAGACAAGCCACCAATTCTGTCTGATGTCGACCCATTCAATTTGGGGGCACTTCCCTATACACCAGGTATGCATACGCTTAGTCCTGGGTCAAAATTAGGCGCTGCGGGTATGTTGGGCTCGCGAAATGACCAGGTTACCTCGAGCATTTCGATTGCCCAAAGGAAGGCTCAAAAACCAAGGGCATGCTACCCAAACAAAGGAAGGCCCTAGGGGCACGACGACTTAGCTCGTTCCTTTGGACACTCGGACTCGTGGGAAAAACAAATCAAGTCGGCAAGTAGGGAAAGGACCGACTCGGCCAATACGCTTGCCAACATGGCGCCTGAAGAGTGCCACTGAGGCTTGAAACCAACTGAAGTCTCGCGTTGACGCCCAAAAACCTGCTGACGTTTGCTGGCGCTCCAAATCAAAAGGCAGCCGCTCAAGCACAAACCTATATCCTAAAAAAGACTGCACGCCTGTAAACCTAAAACTCGAAAAGCCTGTGACTCTAACAGCCAAAAGCCAGAGACCCAAACCATCTCCGCATTTGCTCACTTCCCTTTGACGCTCAAGCCTTTCTGCCAAACTTCCTGCCATTCTAAATGAAGCAATGCCTAAAGCCTTGAACTAAACCGCGACACCCGAAAGCCAATTCCAATTTTCAAGCTTGGTTTTCCAGCCATGTTTGTGTTCGCTCGGTGTTCGTTGTTAACAGCACGAAGGAGTCGTTGAAATCTTGCATTGGCATGTATTTCCGTCATGTTTGATTTGAGCTGTCACCTCAATTGAAAACTTTGATTGCCGCAATGCACATGGGTCGAGCTGTCCAATCGGACAGTACGAGTACATACGAGTATCTAGTGCGAGAACCAAAGCTCCTGCCAGTACACTTGTCGATTGAATCAAAATTGGTAAGATAATTCTACTGAGCGTGTGTAGGTGCCATGCCTGCATACAAATCTTACTCACCATGCTTGAAGTCAAACTGGCTGTCCGTCTTAGGACCCTGCAATCTAGAATGAGCCAGAATCAAAACCCGAGGGTAATCCCAACCAAAAAACAGGTGCAGCCGCCCTCCGCCCTCTTGATTCTTTGCAAACTTCCCATCACCTTGAAATAAGACCGCCCCAAGGTCATAACTGAATGTGCAACATGTGGTAAATGTGGTCAGTTCAGCATACCCCTGCGTCGGGCATCCCCATCCTTTTGCCACCGATTTTGGGGCCAGTTTGGCATGCCTCCCAGAGCAATGCTACATTTTCGAGGGCCCTCACAGTTTTCCAACAATTTGTCAAGCCAGACCCCCCGTGGTCATGGGAAGAAAAGGGCACTCTTTTTGGTTGGCCGTATATATTAATTACAGGGCAACCGTTGCAACCCCAACAAAAGGAGGGCATCAGGGGAGGGGGGTCAAGGTGCGAGCGGCTGGCGCGCCTCCTCAGCTTTGCGAGGCGCGCATCAAAGTCGTCTCCGTTGTCGCCTCCCATGGCATTGTCCTCCAGGAAAAGCGACGATGAATACCCGACAATACCATCAGCACAGATCCGGGTCGACCACCCAAAACCGATATCCTGGCAGGCGCGTCTTAGATCCTGCTGTCAGCACCTCTCTGTGCGCTGCCAAGATTAAAGGGTCCTGACAAATGGTAACAATGGTCACCACGAAATGGAGAATCGGTTCCTCATGGTCGTTGCAAAGCAAAGAGATCGAGACTGTGAGTCAACTCTGTATGGCAGGTTTCGGTACCGACTCTAAGCATTGGCCCCTCAAATTTCAAGTGCATATTGAGAATGCAAGCATTTGCCGATAAGCCATGTCATCCCAAGTCCTGCTGGGGACTCAGTGTTTCAGCCTAATTCATGTTTCAAAATGTCGAGAACAAGGAGCCCCAGTAGGATTCATGATCTGTGTGAAGACGCCTGACATGCAAACGGAAGCAGCACCTTACCCAGTGTCGGACTCCAAGACGGCAAGTCGCGCCTCAATACCCTGGTCCTCACTAAGTCGACATCAATGCTACTCCCGCCGCTGAGCCAAAAGGTTTGGCAGGTGCTCTGGAATTACAAGACAAGATGCAAATGCAGACACATGTCCGAAACACGGACACAAGCTCACTCACGCACATACGCACGCAGGCACGAATGCAAATTCAGATGCAGATGCACATCAACATGCACAGCCACTGGCACAGCTTTACTCTCTCCCTCTCTCTCCCTCACACACACACACACACAGACACACACTCGCCAGCCCGCTCGCCCGTCCGTCCGCTCGCGCACTCACACACACACACACACCCACGCAGGCAGGCATACAGGCACGTGGGCACGCACGCATGCACCAACCCACACACACACACACACACAAACACACACACTCACTCGAACAACCGCACGCAAGCAAGCACGCACGCACGCGCGCCAACGCGCGCCAATGCGCGCCAATGCGCACCGACACAGGAACGTGCACAGACGCGTGCACAGGCATGTGCACACGAAAACGCCCACGCACACTCTCCCTCACCCGCAGCCGCACCCGCACGCGCACCCGCAAACACCACCACAACCGCCACCATCCCCACCCCCCCGGCCCGGGCACCACCACCATCACCACCACCGGGCTTGGAAATCAGGGGCCTGGCGACATCGACGTTTCACGAGTTCCTAGAGTCTTAGAGCTGGTCGGACACTTGGGATTGTACACTCACTTCCTGAGTGAAGTAGCCTGACAGACACTGCGACAGTTGGTTTTCGACGGATATGATCTCTACAAAAAGTATGAAGTCCGTGAGGTCAAAACAAGTGACTCGAACTAGCTGGCTTGCTTCTCAACAAAGGGTCGAGTGTGACTGAACACACACCCATTTTGTTTGTCTCCTGCACTTTTGCGTCCCAAGATTGGTCGCTGAGCCCGCGCCGGGCACGTCCATTCCTCGGCCCAGGGTCAAAGATGGTTTTTCCGGAAGACTGTGTGCAAAGAGGCCCCCCCCATGGTTGGTTTGAAGCTTGGTTGCCTTTTGACATGCACCAAAAGGGGATCCCTGCTTTCGAAATGTACCCAGCTGTAGTGTTAAATCGAGGTTCACTATTTGGCTGAATTTGGCTACCTATTGTGGCAGCAACTAGCATCACCGGGGGCGCTATCAAGAGGCCTGTGCTGGCAAGCAGCAAACAAACTATGAACACACGACTCACACGACATGGACAAGTAGCATGCACAACATTCGCCGCGAACTCACTTACGAAAGCAAGCCATGAACAATGACCGATGTCTAGAGGCAACTTGAGCTTGAGTCAGTCCAGCCGTGCCGCAGAAAGATCTCGAGTCCGTGGAATGAAGGCATCCATGGCCAGGTCTCAGGTCTGTCAGCCGCCAGTGGGATCTCGAGACCTTTCCGATCGCATCGCAGGACGTCTTGCCAGTCCCAATCTCGCCGTGGACGACCAGCGCGTTGTGTTGTTGTCACTCCCCCTTGGCTGCCAAGCCAAGATACCAGAGTCGCCCTTCGGCTTCGAGCAAGTGGGCAGTTCCGCTAAACAAATACAAGTTGCAAAAGGAGTCTGCAACAATCACGTCGAAATGCAACAAGCCGCTTACAAACAAAACCAAACAACTGACCTGCAGACTTACTGGTACAGCAAGGTGTCAACAGTTTGGTCTTTCACTGAAATGAGCAAGACATCAGACAACCGAGCAACTGATCCAGGGTCGTTCCCGGGCTCGGATGAACCGGAATGGAGGGTTGAAACCAAGGTACCTGGCCGAAAACCAGCTTCCCGGCTTGGTTGTCAGCTTCTTGAACAAACCCCTTAGGGAAAAACGCTCTAGAACCACTGCTAACACGAGCCAGAGTGCGGAGCTCTACGGCTGCGCTGCAAAGATCCGGACGCAAATGGCGAAGCGATCGCGCTCCTCGCTCTTGGGGAAGCACAGCGTCAAACCTAAGTTCCAAAGCTCTGCTGAAATAGGGTCCCCCCAAAAGGTAAATCCAAGAATCCAAGAATCGCCTGATCCACAACAAATTGCACTGAAATCCGTGCACTGGCCACTGCTCAAACTACTTGAATGCACGTTGTGGATCCATTCACTGAGGTACAAAGGTGCTGAAAGCGGAAACCAAAATGGAACTATGGAGCGGCAAACGCAAGACACATGAACAACAACAAGACCAGCAACGCAGCAAAAAACACATACAAAAAGGGTCAGCATAAAAACAAAGCACCCGCACTGCACACGGCCCACTCAAATACGCGACAATGTTTGCTGACCGTGACAGGTTGATACGAGGCTCTCGCTAGCTTGTACACCCCCCCCCCGGCCCCTCCTTGCATGATTGTGGAAAAAGGAAGGGGGCCCTCCTTTGGAAGTATGGAGGCCCCTACATTAGTTGGGTGGGGACTTGATACGTCCGGGGGTCCATTGCACTAACATTTTGATGGTTGACCCCAATGGTGGTTTACAGGCTAAACCCCCCCAAACATGTAACCAATGCATGCCCCAGCAAGGTAGTCCTTTTAACACCCGTTTGGTAGGCCACACGATTGTTCGCAGAGTGTCACAGGGATCCATAAGTAAATAAATAAATAAATATATATATATATGTATGGTAACCCCGCAAGCTGTGCATTTCCAGTATGTAATGCCTTTTTGCCTGGTTGATTTTGTGGTAAAAGTGGGTGCCACATGTATATATACATATACACATACATCTGTAATGTAACACATATATCAGCATCTGCCACTTGACAGAGTCTGCATGCATCTAAGAGGATGTTTTGCTCAAATATATGGATTCAAATATGAGAAAAATAGATCTGGGAATCTTGAATCTTGATCCCCATAAACTTTAACTTTGCTTCAAGAAGAATGTAGTGTTGTTTCAACACTCCAAGTTTTGAAGCAACCAAGTGTGTGCACCCCTCTGCAGTCATATGCATTTAGCCTGCAACCCTCCAAGTTCCCGCAATGGCTGGATTCACTCTAGGACAAGATTCTCGGAAAACTTGCTGTGAAAGGGTTTGTGATGGGTTGCGCGGACCCTCGAAGGCGGCTAAGCCGCGCTCCAGATACTCAAGCACACACTCAAGCACGCGCTCAAACCTCACACAGGCACAGGCACACCCAAGAGCACCCCGGAAAGACACACTCAAACACATACTGAAACACACACAAGCACAAACGCACACACACACGGACACACACACACACACACTGCGAATACATTCCACAACGCAGTCAAGCACGCACTCAGACACACACGCACGCGCATCCAGGCCTCGGGAGCGCTTCACGATGCATGGCCTCCGTCAACCTTGCCGCGCTGCGACAGCCAAAAAGTTCCCGAGTCTGCAATGCTGGCAAGGCTGACAAGCCCAACACAGATTTCTCCAAGACACAGTGGCAGGCTCCGCGCAAGCTTTGTAGCCAGCGCAAGACCTGCAGTGGACTAGCCGTCCAGAAGGCCTGCACTGCTTTCGCGGAGTACCGCAGCAGCGTGTCTCGCCAAAACGAAGTTGACAAGGGCGAGGGCAACGCTTGGCCGCTTGCAGACAAAGCCTGCGCAGAGCGCTGGTTGCTGGAAGCTCCTCCACTGGCTCTGCCATCGGAAAATCTGCGGTCCTTCCAGGCCATGCATGGCTCAGGGGCACACCTTCTCGGGAATCCCTCCAAGGAAAGGCATGGACAAACATCGCCCTGGATGCGCAGTGGGTTGTGGCCCGTTGCGAGGCTTGCAGGTCCAACACAACGCGCGACCTGCGCAGGGCCAAGCCCCGACACCTTCCAACACCCGGGCTGGCTGGCGATGTCATCGGGTTCGATTTGAAGACCGTCAAGCCGCACAACGGGGACAAGTGGCTGATGTTGCTTGCAGTTGACTTCTGCAGCAAAAAGCGCTTTGCGTGGGATCTGGACTATGGCCACGGGGGCCTTCAGACTGTCCAGGGCTTGATGCTCCGCTTCTTCTCCGAGCAAGAGCTGCCGCAGACAATGGTGGAGCCTTCCGCAATGTGATCCAGGAAGCTTTAGAGAAAGCCATCGGGTCAAGCCCCGGCACATCCCCTGCAGGGCGGCCGCAAGCCAACGGCCTCGTGGAAGTGTACAACCGCATCATAGACTCCGCGCATGCTGGGGACAGGAGGCGTCACACTTTGGCGTATCTTGCGCCCTGCAGAGTTGTGATGGCGGAACCTCCAAACTTGATCCCTGGACCTTGAGGTTGAAGGCACCTCCGGGACAGAATGAAGAAGTCTCTGAAGAATGACCGCAAACGGCCCCAGACTTGTGATGCCCCTATTCTGTCTGGAGACCAGGTCATCGCCAAAAACAATCAGACCGGGCATGGGAAGTTCGAGACGAAAAACGGGCAGGTCCGGGAGCGTGTGCAGTCAGTGTTGCAGGGCTTTGTCCAGCTGCAAGGTCGGAAGCGGCACCTTTGTCTACAAGCACGAGGCCAACCTCAAGCTGATGCCCCGCAAACTTGTTGCTGACGACCAGCATGTGCCAAGCTTGCGGGTCGTCAGGGCTCCATCGCGCAAGTTGACTATTTGCGGCGGCTTCCTCAAAGTGCCATCTCTCGGCAGCGCGTTGGAAGATGACACCCGTGGGGCGCAACAGATGAGGTGCACAAGCTACTGACCCGCGTCCAGCTCTGGGTTCGCCACTTGGATGCGCCCGCAAAAGCAGGCCTGGAGGAGCCGCTGAGTTTGGAGATGTTGGATGACCCCCTCTGGCCCGGGTGCTGCGAGGGGGACTTGGCTGGGACCAATACTTCGCCTATGCAGCGCAGCCCACTGTCTACGGCACGTACTTCAACCAGTGCCTTCGTCCGGTACCATGGCATCACAGTGGAGGTTTATCAGGAGAACGGCGACGACATCGGCCTGGTTTGGAAGGAGCAGGGCATTGGACGGCGGGGCCTTGAGAGGTGGTCCTGTGCGGCTTCTTCGCAAACAGAACCACTATGACCTGCTCCTGCCCCAGCCTAAGCGCTTCCGCATCTGGTCGAAAGGCCCCGCTGCAAAGATGCAGTGCAATTCTTGATTTGAAAGCATGCGTGTTGCTGCTGTTGCTGGTCCTGCTCCCCCGGATGACATTGGGGTGAGGTGGGGGGATATATGTAACATGTTGTTTTCTCTCTCTCGCTCTCTCGCCCCTTCACACATTTCTCACCATATGTACAGTGTAGTGATGGCCAACATGTGATGATTCAAATCACCAAACAAAGGCTACCCGCCCCATGTCAGGGCGCAGTCTCCGGATTTCATCTCGAGGACTGCAGAGAGATGATCCATGGGGATGCCCAGCTTCAACGCGGCGGCGGCTTCACCCACGTGGACCGCCTTCACAGAGGCCAACGGGAGATCCTTTTGGGACCCGTCCTTTGCTTGCACCTTCAGGTTCTTCAGATCCTTGGGACAACAAAAGCAAGGCCGATCCTGGAGAGAACAAACCGGAAAAACGAGACAGCCGAGATTGGCAGATTTGATGCCCTACAAGGAAATGGTCGGGAGACTGCTTCAAATACCGGAGGCAAGGAAAACATTAAAATCAAATGGCCTGCACGCTTGGATTCATTTGTGTTTGGTTAACAGTGGGCATCGGCTTTGGTGGGGGATGCCTTGATGCAACTGTGGATTCACAAATTGCTGCACTCTTGTAGCACTTTGTTGCACATACAAACACACACACACACACAAACCCACACAAACACACACACACACACTAGCACACGGACACAAGGACACACAAGCACAACAGCTCAAAGAAACATCGCCCCAAACAACGTAAAGAAACTAAGACATGAGCCCGAAGAGGCACACAAACAAATGTGTGCGCATTCGCGTACCAGTGGATAACCAAAGGGCGTAACAACAACACCCAGTGTGCATGCGCGTGCGTGTGTGTGCTTGTGTGGGGCGACCTGCCACAGAGTGGTCGCCCACGCCAGGATCACGCCTACAAGCGTGTGATTTGACCGTCTTTCTGGCCCCCTTCCTGAACCGCTGTTGTTTGCTTTGCCCGCTGCTAAAGTATTTAGAGGAACGGCATTTCCACTCGCCCCTGCGTTTCCTTGTCGACACTGGAGGCATGTCACTTGACCTGTCCCCCAGTCGACTTGGCTGATACACGCCCCGGGAGTCTAAGTGTGTGCGTGTTTGTTGATTGCGTATTGCTTGCTCGTGTGCATTTAGTTGAAGATACCTTTCAAAATACACCTCCAATTTGCTTGGCCAGCTACGACAAATCCACCGACCCTGGCTCCGGCAAAGTAGCTGAATCCGAGGCGCCGGGTCTAAGAAACAGGTCACCTTTTGCTTCCCGCCCGCGCTGGCCACGTTCAGCTCGCAGCCTTTCAGCATTTGCCGCACAAAGCTCTCGATCAGCACCTGAAGAGTGTGCGATCTGGGGCTAGTTAGATAAAGAGAAAGAGGAAGAGGAAACCAAAGAGAGGAGAAAGCGAAAGGGACAGAAGAGAAAGAGAAGGGGAAGATGGAGAGGCAAAGAAAAGAGAAAGAGAAAAGGACAGAAAAGAGAAAGCGAAGAAAGATAAAGAAGACAAAGAGAAAGAGACAAGGAAAGAGGAGAGAAAGCGAAAGATAAAGAACAGAAAGAGAAAGATAAAATAAATGAGAAGAAAAAGCGAAAGATAAAGAAGACAAATATCAACAGAACAGGAAGGACAGAGAAGAGAAAAGGAAATGGTAAAGATGTAGATACAAAATATTAAGAACGAGAAAGATAACAGGGGAAAGAGAAAGAGCAAAATAACTATAGTTCTTATGTCTCTGGAACTTCCGCCCACTGGCTGCCCTGGCCCCACTGGTATGTGAGGCGCTACTTTGCCCCAGGCCGGAAGGCTTTCAATTCATTTGTCCGCACGATTGCTCTCGCTCTCAGGGAGCCTTTATAGAAATGGGGACTGGACCTGGCGGGAGTGCAACTTGGATAGTGACATTATGAATTCTTTGGGACTTCGAAGGCCCTCAACCCTACAGCCTGCATACAAAGTTTCGGGTACAATCAAACATGATGTAAGACACAAGAGGAGCGCATCGCATCGCAGATATCCGCTCACATTGGTAATATCAAACTTGACGTGTGTATGCTTCCTTGCTAAGCTGCTAAACCACAGCCGCATTCAGGGCGTCTTATACGCTACCCCGCACACCTTCGCAGAAACCGCCTCAAGCCTACCGCATGCTGCTTGCAAAAGCGCCTAAGCAAATGCAACTTGTCAGTTTCCGCAGGTGCCTATCGACACATTCAATCCCAAATGCCGGTGTGATGATCCGCTTTCAGATTCCGGAGCGGCAGTTTCTTTTGCCCAGCAAGCCTACACGCTTCCTCTGTGGCATCCTACGCAGGGTCTGTGTGAAGTGTGCAAAGAAGCCCTGCAAGCAGAACCACTGCTACTCGTCCTGAAACGGAAATGAGCGGCAAGAGAAGCAGAATCTTTAGGACTTGGAAAGCAGCAAGTCCTGCTGCTTCAACTAAAGTCCAATCAACATCAGTACAAGCCTACACAAAAAGACTACACGAGGGGCAAAGCGACATACGTACTACTGAAACTGTGCAAAGTCCTTCTGGCAGAACCCAAGGAAACCCCAACTATTGTAGGGGACCACTAGTTTCAAAAAGAACATGCCTCCGCTCCGGCCTGCGTGGTGTTGGTCGCCCGGACCTTACCTTTGGCTTTGGCCGCCGTTTTGGCCTTGCTTGGCGATGACGCCGCTGCCTCGGCGCATGTCGGCGCAAGGCTGCAGCGAAAGGACAAAGAGACAAAATGGGGGGGCTATGCCAAATCAGGAGATGCCCACATCATAAGAAATGGAGGTGCTTCCAAATTAAACGGATGTGTGTGTGTGTGTGTTAAATAAGGGGACTTGTGAAAGGCAGGCATATCTTTTGGCTTTCCTTTAAAGCCGCCAACAAAGGTACCCCTCAAAAAGCACCACACCTACATGGACGTTGATGGGCAACAGTTGTTGCATTCTTGTTGTGCTTGCTTCTAAAGGGGGGCCCCCCAACTGCCACGGAAGACATTCAATTTTGGACTCAGGCGCGCCGAAGTTGAAGCACTGACGCTTCTGATCCACCAGGATCCGCATGCAAAGGATGAAGCGGTCGCAAGCCTCCTCGTGCCCAAACTTGAAGGTAATGCACTCCTCAGGTCTCAGCTGCACATTTTCCAAAAGGTCTCAGGCCACGGGCAGAAGAAACCAACAAGTAAGAAGTGGTGCTTCGGGAACCTCAAAAATAACAACAATCACGTGTTTCTCCCAGCCAACATCCTAGGAAGGGTGGCGCTACCAATAATATGTTCGGGAGGCGCAAATGCATGCTACAGCACGATTCGGGCTAGTGACCTTCAAGGCGCCGACAATAACAGCCCCCCACTCCAAATACTATCTTTTTTCAGGAAACATATTATGTTTAAGAACCGGCTCTTCCATGCCTAACATCATACCCTACAACACAGGGTATTTATTTGCACTAGGGTGAAGGCTTCCCCACAAATCATGACCAGTAAATACGATTGGCTAAGACCCACAGCAGCCGCTGTTGGGGGGGGGGGGGGCAAAATTCCCCCTATCCCCCATCCCCGCTTGAACTTGTTTCCTCGTTTTCTTGGGGGGGGAGAGGAGATCGGAACCAAACACGTGGCCTTTCCGAGGCGCGCCCCCCTCGAGCTCCATAGTGGCACAGCAGCGATCCAGCCCTCCGAGGCCCAGCTTCAAGGCTTTGGCCTGAGTTTGCCACGGAGTTCCTTAAACCCTACGGGTGGGTTCTGACCTTCTGACCCAAGGGTTCTGAGCGTTCTGACTTTCTGGGGTTCCTGACCGTCAAACAATCAAAGTTGGATCTGACATCGGGTTGCTCCAAGCTCAAAGCAACTGGTCAAACACATGCTGTAGGTTTAAACAAACATACACATTTGCTTCCAAAAGAACTCAGGGGCCTTTGGAGTCACACGTCCCAACGTTTCTCTGGGCTTGAACACTCCAAAGTGGAACCCAACAAACACGGCTCCCAGTGGGTTCTATGTTGAATTGCAGTTTCGAAAAGGAGAAGGTCTACACTGCGGCGCAGTACTTAGCAACATCAACCTTGACACTCAATGTTGGATTGTCCAGGGCTGCCTGCCCAGAGTGCGTCCTTATCACTCCAACAAAAGACCCAGACATTCACTACCCCCAGGCAACTTCTGACTGTCCGGCGGCTTCGCTGAAGCCACCCACCTCCCTCACCTCCCGTGTCGCCTCCTTGGCGCTGCGCAGCTGCAGCACCGCGCTGAGCAGAATGCGGCGCTCCTCAGCGCCCTCCTCGGTCGCGACCGGAACGGGAGTCGCAATCAAAGCTTGGCGGAGTTCCCAACAGCATTCCATGTTCGAGAAAGAAAAAAAAGAAAAGAAAAACATGCCATGCTTTGTTCCCAGTAGAAAAAGATATGGCTGCTAGCCCAGACCATACTAGAATACTAAACCGACAGCACACCAATACTTTGTCTAAACCGATAAGCCAATCCTAAGCCAGCAAAACCAACTGAGGCTCAAAACAGCCTCCTAGAAAAAGAACTATTTGTAGTACAGGAAAGGCCCCGAACTTAGCAATCACAGCGTATAAGAAATACAGAAACATGTATATATATATATGTATATGGGCCAGTGCAAAGTAATACTAAGCCAAAACTAAACATAACATACTAAGCCGATTCCAACCACTGCTGAGCCAGTACCAAGGAATCCTAAATCAATTCCAAACCAAATCTAAAAAGTACAGGGCCATCTCCAAGGAATACTAAACACATTCAAAACCACTACTAAGTAGGGCTTACTGGAACACTGCTTGAGCAGGCCCACCACTGACCCCCCAATGTGCTTTTAGGGTTTCCCCGGTTGACCCCCCCCCCACCGTTTGTTTGGGAGGGAGGGTGGTCCTTTACAAAATCACTACCCACCATTGCTCAACCCCCTGTAAAGAATTAAAATACCAGCGCGTCCGTTTATGGTTGGGAATGCCTCTTACTTGCCTTCACTTGCCGGGGTTTTGATTGTCGCTCATGTACGCGTGCAAAAGCGCACATCGCCATTGCGAAACCTGGAAGGGACTGAGCTGATTGGGATATCAGTACCTGGGAGCGCAGCCTGGGGCCCTGAAATTGCGGAAAAAAAAAACAACAACAACACTTTGCTGTCCTTTGAAAAATCCAGATATAGGCCATTCAGCACCCAGGTGCCCAAAAGTGAGGTTCTGCTTTTGGTGCGCCTTTAAACCCACGCCAAAAGGGTACCCTTCAAAAACACAAACACAGCCCGTATGTCCCAGCAGGGGTCCTCAGTCAGTCATGAGTCGATTCACTTCACGTTGAGAGTATCGGGGATGTCGGAGTCCAATTTTGTACTGTTTGAATTGGTTTGCGTGATTTCCCGATGGACTGTGGACGGCTAACAAAAGGCATGGGAGCCTTCGACTTGCCTGCCGGGCTTTTGCAGACATGGGCCAAATGCCTGGGCACAAACCTTGGCGCTGTGGATGGGCCTGTTCCACGCATGACTCAACTTGTGGTCCCTACATTTTCACATATACATATATATATATATATATATCCATTTTAGCACCCGAATTGGTGGTTCCGTTGATGATTTGGAGGCTAAGGATTTGTGCCAATTTACCCTCTACAGGAACCAGTTCAAATCCCCCCAAAAAAAGAAACATACACTGTCTGGTGTCCCAGCGCATGCGGAAGGTCTCTTTGTCGCGAGTGAGGGCACAGTCCACGTCCAGCAGCCGCCCGTCCGCCTGCAGGATGTAGAAATCACGGCCGCGGTACATTGTCTCCACCTGGCGGGCACAAGAACAAAGAGAGAGGGAGAGAGAGGACAACATGAAGAACTAAGAAACAAACCAAGAACACAATGAAAAAGGAACCTCTGTCTTCCTTTGATGGTTGTGTTAAGGGCCTTGATGCGGGGCTGCCGCTCACATGGCCACTTTTGGCCTTCTGGGGAGACACATTTTCGGAGGCTCCCACGCAATTCAGTCCGAAAGAGACCTTTCTTACCAATCCTCGAGTGACTGTGAGTCGAAAGATTCATTTCTGATGCTCTCATAACGTACCAAGTCTCTAAGGGTAGCTTCCCCATTCTTTGCAGGGATCCTTTCTTCTACAAAACCACCAAGCACCACGGGAAAACAGCTGGTTGGTGAAAACAACGATGGCTGAACAAAAATGGGGAATCAACCCGTAGAATGTCGCCGTGCTTTTGCAAGAGCAATGGACCCAGCACATATGCTCTTCCGCTTTGCCAGAAACCAGCCAGGTGTGGCCAAATGGAATACAAAGTCCAGGGCTACTGACTGCCAAATTCTAATAGCTTCACTCCTCAATCTAATAGGATTCATGTTGTAACACCTCCTGAAACCCTCAAAAGGGGGGGTTGGGATTTCCGAGTTGCCTTTCAGGTCCGTCCGAGAAATTGCATCCTTGCTCCATCCTCTCCTAGATGCAGGTCCAAGGCGCAAACATTTTGTACATCTTCTTGACCTGCTTTGGGTCCTCTCCAGGGTTGGGGGGCCATCCCGCTTCAGCACATGTTACCACTCTTGTTTCAACAGCCTCCTTTCGGCTTAAGGGGACCGACCCGACCCAGGGGTCCGGTTGAAGTTTAAGCATACTGCACTTGGTTACAATATAACAATGGATACAAGGGGACTAACCCCAGTTACGCTAGATATACTCATGCTAAGGTGGTTGAACATCCAAGCAAACAAACCTCCTCTGCAACCAGCAACATGTCCGCATAAAGCTCGGAGCCGTTTAAGGACTCGTCCCCAGTGAACCCTCCTCTGTCGTCTCCGTGGTGCTCATGGTCTTTTTCATCACTGCGCTCTGCACACTGACTCCGCTGACTCCGCTTGCCTCGCTCCTGAAGCTTGGGAGAATCAAACTCGCCAGGGCAGGGGAGGGGGGCTATGAGCTAGTAGCCCTTCAAGGCCAAAGGACAAACCTCACTGCTTGGTAGCTGGTTTGATTTATCCCATTCATAGGGTTTCATCCATTCATCCTGGCTTATCCAGCTGGGCTTGTCTAGGGTTAGCTCAGCCCTGATAGCCCCTCCAGGCATCACCATGGAGTGCAGAGCGTACTTCGAGCTAGAAGGCTAGGGACCCTGAAGTGAATCACCTGAATCGAGCTAGATGCTGCATCCTCGCGACAAGTGCCCAGAATGGGCGTGGACGTGGGGGGTCTCTGCCAAACTGCAGTCTTCCAAAAACTCTTGTCAGCTTCCAGGATGAGAAAGAGGGTTATCTTTTGGACGAATGCTAGCGCTGAAAGTCTTAAATAGCAAGCACAATCAAAGTCAAGACTAGGAAACCTCGTTGCCCTGCCCTGGCAAAAAGTCATAGTTTTTGGCTTGGTTGTTAATGTCATGTAAACAAAACCCAAGTTCTCGTGGCAGATTATCGATCAACAATTATCAACATGGCCAGGTCCAAGTGGAGTCTCCACAACCTTCAAAAGCATGCTGTCATGACCTGTTAAATTTTGGTATGACCTGTTAAATTTTGGTATCACCTGTTAAATTTTGGTATGAGACTTCATGTTCAAAGGGCCACGCAGACTCCTGGCTGTTCCTTCTCAGGCACTGGGGTCTCCTGGCGTCATCCTCCGGCTCCGCCTGTTGTCGTGGTGCTTCTTTCTTACTCTTCTGCCGGCGCATCGAGCTAAGCAGCCGCATGAAGAGCGTAAAATCCTGGCGGCTTTTGGTCGACTGGAGCTCTGAGACCCAACAGCTATTAAACGGTTTGAACATGACCTGATTTGGGCTATTTACTTATGTGTGCTTCTATTCGGAAAATCCCTCCAAGTGGTAGTTCCTGCTTGTTGATTTCACCACCAGCGTGATAGCCATGTTGAGCAATAGCCGCATCTGACTAGATAGGCTGCTTTTTCACGGCACAAACGTGCCATTGCTACTTGGGGATTGGTTAATTGAAATTGATTTCAAAAAACCTGAACAAGTGGTGCCAGGCCATGCTCGTGCAAACGAGCTGAGAGCACAGACGGATTGGATCCTTGTGACTGCCTTGCACTCATCTCTATCTCTGATCAGCCGGTTCTGAACGTGGTCGCTGGACCAACTCCCGTCAATTCAATGTCGCTAGATAACCTAGGCTAGGTTGAAGCTAGGTCACCGCACTAACTCATCCACAGTTTTCCAGTGGCCATGAGGAAAATGGCACCTTCTTTTTGCAACTACTCGATATTGAAGAGACCCCTCTCAAAATCTCAAAACCAAAGGGACAAATAATACGCCCACAAGCCTCCCAGTGGGTTCCCAACCAGAAGAAACATATTCGTTCTCCGAGAAGAGTTCATCTAAAACATGGCACGGCAGGTCCGGAGGCCTCTGCTTGTGAAGCGTCGCCCAGGTGGAAGCTGAGCGCAGCTCCGCTGCTCAGTTCTAGCACCACCCAGCCTCAGACAGGGTGTTGTAAGGGGTTCCCTAAGAGGATGGGATGAAACAAATATTGGTGGTTTAAACAACGGAACCTGGTTGAAAGTCAGGGGTCCCAAATTGGTGCATCACTTTCTTCAAGGAACTCTTCAGAAACAACCCTGGCAGAGCGGCAACACATCGGTCACTGTCGGCTACAAACCGTTCAACCCGGGGAACAGCAAAGGGCCGTGTCATGGGAACTTTTGGTACCGACCGACCATTCGCCACGGAAGTCCCAACCTTGGCTCCACGATAGTTTCCGTTGCCCCCCCGTTGGGGTAATCGACCAAGCCCCTCCCCCGCCCATCTTACTCGCGTCCCGCTTCAGGCATGCTGGGAACCCAGGATTCATAGCTTCCTGGTCAATTTTAATCGGGGGTGTCCCAATTGAGGATTCGGATCTGGATCACTTTGTGACAAACCACACCAATCATTCAGGCTCTGCCTAAACACGCCTAATCGACTGTATATTGTTGATGGATATGCTGTCGAAATGGCTCGTTTGCACATTCTTGTGGTTCTACCTAAGCAAAGGATGCATCCAAAACCATTGAGTTTGTCTCATATTTAGCGGCCCCCCAGATGGGTGGTTTCCTCTTGGGTTCCCATTAACCCCCCCCCCACACATTGTACCATTGTACCCTCAACAAACACCACCCCACTGGAACTCAAAAAGTCCTTCACAAGGCGATGCCTCGGCGGTTTTTTGCATCCATGTCAATCTGCAAAGAAGTAGGCAGAATAAATGTTCAAGTGGGCGTATTATATTCTACTAGGTGGACGGCATCATGTGGGAGTTCATGTCCACCAACCACTTGTGAGGCGGTGTCCTATTTGGTGGACGCACATCCCCAACGATGTCCACCAAATGTGTCTACCAAAGGAATCATTGGAATGGGGTTGTAAGGTACTTTATAGTACTCACGTAATTGCCCGAGTAAAACCCGGGGTCGGACAGCGCCCAGTGGCAGTTGTCGAGGTCGATGCCCAGCTGCAACGGCAGCGCCTCGAGGCCCCGATGGATGTAGAGGATCTCACCCAAAGGCACCTCCGGTCTCGGGTAGCAGGGCCCTACGGGCAGGGCTGTGAATTTTAACTGGGAACCCCTCATGGTGGACATATAATTATCCCCACGTGAGATCCACCAAAGGGTTCAACCCCTGTGAAAAGATGGCAAGGACCAACTCCTTAAAATAACTGGTTATATCAATCCCGTTGTAGTAATGGCGGTTGGAATTTCGGGGCGGAGGTTTCTCAAAACAGAGGTCCCCTTCTTGGATGGTTTTATATAAGGGGATACCAAAGGGACACCAACCATTTCAAGGGACTTCTATAATATGTTTTGAGAAAAGTACAACTTAAGCAATGTGTGAAACCGAACAGGGAACTACAGGGACATGTGAGAAACCCACCACCGGGTGTTTTGGAGGCGCCACAAAAGAGATGTATCACAGCGTCTGGCGTTGGGGTGGGAAGGTGCCTTCAGAAAGAGAACCCTCATAAATGGCAGCAATTAACTTTTCTTATTGAATTGAAACAGGCGCTACTAAGCCGAAAGCAGGAAACAGCCATGTCACACGTGTTCTTTGTCAGTTTGGATCATGGTGGCAGTTTGGAACGCTATACCCATGATGAACTCTGGCCAAGGTCGAGCCCCAAAGCAAGGCACCTCCTGATCTGGATCTGCCAGAACGAGCGCGTCCACTGCCTTGGAAAGCTTGCACATCCTCACGCGATCTATGCGAATGGTTTCTAACGAAATGAAGAACCCACTTCCAAACGACTGGGACACAAAAATGAAACTTTCCAGGTACTTGTAGTGGCTTGGAGAGGTAGCGGGTGATCATTGTCCTTGCTAGGAGAGTAAAGAGGTCACTTCAATGCCCTCAAAACTATGTTCAATCCACGTTCACTTGGGGAGACAGGGAGTCATCATCGTGGACAAGCTTGTTGCAAACGCGCTATTCCGCTGCTTTGTGAGATCGCTTCAACACAAACGACATCTACGGACATGGGACTGTGAATAAACCGGGGGCCCTTCTAAACGGCATGGACCCCCCGGCTCCTGACAAAATGGATCCCTTTCTGTCGGTTATTAAGCTATTCGGATATTCAACCAGCTTAGTAATTGCTAGAGTAACTGGGGTTGGTCCCTGTAACCCGATTGTAATCTACTTACAAAGTTGGTTGAACATCCAAGTAGAATTCAGGCCCGGTCACGGCCGAGGTAACCGAAGGACGCTTCCCCCACGCCCCGTATTCCAAGGAGTCACTCAGAAGGAACAGGGGAACAGTTTCAGCTCAGAGACTCCAACCGCTTTGGTCAGTAGCTGTCGAAGCTACACCCAAAAAGAAATGGAACAAGCAACAACAGCATGCTAGAGAAACATTTGTTTGGGGTACCCTTTTTTGGTTCCACGTGAATCTGAAGGGACAATAACATCCTTTGTGACTCTCTGTCTCTCTCTCTAGAAGTGGGTCAAACTTCTTGCGCTCAGACTTCGGCTCTCAGTGCCGAGAGTCACAAAGGGGAATCGGAAACGCTGAAAGAAAGAAGGGCGGGTGTCACCAGGCAGGGATCATGCTGACCGAATGTTGCATACTGTGATACAGCAAAATCATAAGTGCATCTGTACCTGCACTGTCATTGTACATCATCATCATCATCATCATCATCATCATCATCAGCATCACCATCACCATCACCATCACCATCACCATCACCATCGCCATCGCCATCGCCATCGTCATCGTCATCGTCATCGTCATCCTCGTCATCATCATTCATCCTCATCAGAATCGGCAGCGGCATCATCATCGTCATCGTCATCCTCATCAACAACATCATCATCGTCATCGTCATCCTCGTCATCATCGCTCATCATCATCAGCATCGGCAGCGGCATCATCATCATCATCATCATCATCATCATCATCATCATCATCGTCATCGTCATCCTCGTCATCATCACTCATCGTCATCGTCATCCTCGTCATCATCGCTCATCATCATCAGCATCGGCAGCGGCATCATCATCATCATCATCATCATCATCATCGTCATCATCATCATCATCATCATCATCATCATCATCATAATCATCACTCATCATCATCAGCATCATCATCGTCATCATCATCATCATCATCATCATCATCATGATCATCATCATCATCATCATCATCATCATCATCATCATCATCATCATGCTCATCCACATCATCATCGTTATCATCATCATCATCATCATCATCATCATCATCATCATCATCATCATCATCATCTTGATCGTCGTCCTTGCCATCGTCATCATCCTCATCCTCATCGTCATCAGCATCAGCATCAACATCAGCAGCATCACCATCATCATCATCCACATCATCATCCACATCAGCATCGTCATCGTCATCATTCCTCGACCTGGTTTATAAGAAGCAAGAAGCCTGCCATACCCCCGAAACCGTTTCAAGTTGCGGTAACCTGCCAGTTTTGTTCTGCTTAGGTCTAAATGACTGTCCACGAAGCTTACCGCCTTGGCAAGGCTGGATGGCCAATCAAGTCCAATTCCTTGCGAGGAAACAAAATTGGCCAGGTTAAGCAACAAGGACTCCCTATATTTCCACCTTAGCATCAAAATTGGCCCAGAAGGTGATGTTTCACAAGCTGAAGCGGGGAACATACGAAACTCCTGAGCAACACTTTTGGGCGGAATCCAGTGATGCCATGATGAGGCTGCTCTTTCACTGATGCAGTTCCCGTTCCTCAGGTTCCTTGAAACCCAAAAACAATATGGCACTCATAGCACAAAAAGGGAACAGCAAACAACACACACTGCCCACCCACCAACCCACCGGTCCCGAGGTCCTGGGCTTCAGATCCGCGCCCTGGCGCAGCTCCTGAGTGCTCACGGCGGTTCAAACATGTCACCAACTTGGGCTCCGAGTCAACCGGTCGTTGGGGTTTTGGGCGCCTGGCCCCACCCTGAACCTTCACTTGCTTGATTGTGATTCCGTTGATTCATCCGCTGGTAGACTAATATCATAGAGGGGTGCAACCCATTTGATCACTTTTTGGGGACAAACACAATATAGCTCACCACGCGGAGACAATCACAGGATACCCCAACGCCAGTTTCCGATTTTAGTAGCACTGGTTTTCTCAGTGGATTCCCCTTTAGCAAAGCCTGGACTTGCCTTCGACCACCGCGAGCTTCCCCAAAGGCAATCATAAACACCAAGCCCAAAAAGCGGTTCAAAGACGTTCTGATTCGTCAAAGATCATCAAAGCAGCAAATCGGCGTCATTAGTATCAAGCCCAAAGGATAATCGTGCAGTTGGTTGCCTGTTCGTTCTTTTTTTCTTGTGTGTGTGTGTGTGTTGTGTCTGTTTGTTTGTTTGTCTGTCTGCCTGTCTGCCTGTCTGCCTGTCTGCCTGTCTGTCTGGTTGTTGGTTGGTTTCTTGGCTTGTTGTTTTTGGGCTTGTTGGTTTGTTGCAATGGTTATTGTTGTGTGCTGTCTGTTGGCTGCAGTGTGAGTGTGTGTGTGTGCAGTATGTTTCTTTATATCGGTCGGTTGTCTGTTGTGTGTTGCTTGTTGGTGGTGGGTGGCTGGAAGTTTGCGGCCGGGGCCGATGGCTGGTGTTAAGTGGTTCGTGGTTGTGGATGACAATTCCCAAATCTCAATCAAGGGATCCCCAATCAATGGACCTCAATCAAACTGAGCTCATGTTGACCTCGAATTGGTGGCATCTCCCCATAGCGCGTATATGTAGTATATCAAAGGCTCCCCATTGAGTCGATGGCACTGTGGATGCTTTCCCCACCGGCCACGCGCGATCAATGCGACTTTACACAAGCCCATGCCACTTGACCTCACCCCCAGTAAGTGCTATCTATGTTGGAGGGCGAACTTTGGAGGAGACAGGGTCCTTTCCGCGGACCATACTCTGCACAAAGACCTTGAGCGACGCCTTGAGCTTTGCGGCGTCCATGGCACCCGCCTGCCTCGGAGCGCAGGACAAAGCGGCCAGCCCAGTTGCCACGTGACCGGTCCGGTACGGATCGTTGGGAGTTGAGCAACTGGGAAATGTGGGGAACCCAGACGAAAAGGGAGAAAGGGTACTGAACTGGGGCCAAGTACTTTGACCCCCTTGTAGCCGTGTCTAGTGCAGCTTAGGCTTAAACATGGCATCAGGCCCTTATTCCATAGGAAGTGCTTGTTCTGGGGTGACTGTGGGGTCCACAAGTGTATTTGGATGTCGAAGGACGCCGGAGCAAGCCATGCCCAGGCCTAGGAAGTCTCTCGGACGCTGAAACAAGTTTGATACCAGCTTTGACAACCAGAAGGCAGCCTGTTGACTATATCAGGCGATTGCCTTCCAAGTGGATCCAGCTGCCTCTATAGTTGGTAAGCAACCAACAACCGTCACGGAAACTCTGCAGCCTGGAAGCTGTGCAAAATGCATGGAATGTCTGTGTTTGAAGGTGCCCTTTCGATGTTTCTGTTGGTTTGCCAAAAGCGATCGTAGGCCGAGGATGGTACGTGGAGGAACACCTTGAGAGATCTGAACAAGCAACACATAATCCTGAGAATGCCAACTGAGTTCCAAGCATATGACTGTAATTGTACCAAAGGTCAGGGCATGCCACGTCCAAAGGTCACCTTCCAACAAAACTAATAACAATCGAACCGGAGCTCAGGTTTCAGCTTGGTCTTTGGGAGAGTGCTCCGTCAGCTATGACTTTGGCAGGGCGGCAGAAGAAAGAAAACAAAAGCAATCCCAGATAGCGATGGACTTTAACAGAGAATCACCTCAGAAGTGGGTGGTGTGTCCCCCATTAAAATCTACTTCCAGATGTTTGCAAAAGACCGCGTGGTCTCGGGTTTGTTGGAACCCTCGGCTGATGGCAGCTGCTGGAAAGAACGAAACAAAGCCGAGAAACAAAGCCACGTTCCTCTGTCTGATGTCAGGAATGTAACAATTTGACCTGCCACTCCACCAATGTCTTGAAGAAGAGTCAGTGGGCCAGAATGTTCTTGTCAAAGAGAAGGCTTTTTGAGGCAACCCCCCGATCTAATAACGCGCTTTCCAAATCCCGATGTTAGCAGCCTCTCCGTTGGGTCTCCAACTGCCTGGGGTTCTCAGAACGCCAGCCTGTTTTTGCCCCAGCACCAAGATGTACTGTACAAAGGAGGCAATTGAAACGAGGAGATAAACAGGAGACTATCCACGAAGCAACCAAGCACCAGCTTGAGGTGGGGACTTGGGACTCCAGCCCCTGGTTTTGTCTGCCGCTCTTCGTTCCACCAGGACGCTCTGCCACCACCGCTGTCCGCACCGAGAAATCGCTCCGCGCAGAAACTCCGCTCCGCACAGAGACCGCAGCCTCCGAGCGAACGTCGTCCTCAGGCGCCTGGCAGGGCACAACATGCTACTTATATCGTCTGGGGCTGAGCAAAATGTCTAGTGACTCTGCCCATAAGGGCTAGTCTGGGGTTCGAACGGATTGCTGACCACTTCGCTAACTCCCGAACCATCAGAGTAAAAGATAGTCTCTGCTTGAGGCCGGCTACTTGTATGTGCGGTTTGGGCTGCAAACCCACTTGCATTCACTCGCGATTGTTGGATTTGGCTTCCAAGAAATGTCAGGTTTACAACGTGTCCGATGGACGCGAGTGATTTCCTACAACTTGCAACCTTCACCTTGTGGGCAAGTTTGAAATGGGAGTCCTGTATTTAAGACGGGTCATGTTTATGATACGAGTAGAGGGAGACACAAAAGGAAGCCTGGAGAAGGTAGCTCCAGCGCGCGGGTCCCAAGCTCTTCCGCCGCTGTGATCGCAACGCAATGGCTCTCGGTGCTCGGCTTTTCAATGGACATGAACGCTATGCCCCCCGCAAGAGAATTCGAGGCGAAAGGCTAGAGCTTTCTATCCCTCGAATCCGAGTTTCAAAGTTTGATGTGTAAGCACAAAAAGGGGGCATCTGTGTGTTTCTGACAATTAGGGAGCTCTCAAAATGTTTGTTTTTTTCGTCCAAGCCCTCTCAACAAGCGCCTCAAAAAACACAAGGATGCCACCAAGCAAACCCTATCCAACCCTAAACCCACCCTGAGCCCACCCAAACCCTCCCTAAACCCTCATCTAGCCTTCGTTGCTTGCGCCGCAGCCTGCGCCTTGTGCTCTGCAACGCGCTCCTCCAGCGTCTGCTGCGGCGTCTGCTGCGGCGTCTGCTGCTGCGTCTGCTGTGGCCAGCGCTCGCGGTCCTGTGCGCGGTGTCGCGTGGAACAAACAATATTTTGGTTTTGACACAGACCCAAGTATCTATGCTGGGGTCAGAAACGGGGTCAACATACATCCTCACTCGTCCTCACTCCGGCTCCATAAGTCAAACTAGACCAAGTTTTGTATGGCCTTCTGCGAAAGTGTCAGGGAGGCAGGGAGGATCAAAACTGCTGTGGGTCATGGTCATGGTTCCCTTCATAGACACTCTAACCATGGCTATCCGAAGTCTCTACCAAAAGGATGATGACCCTTGTTTAACGAGGCCAAGTAAAAGGGTCTCTTGACAATGTGGCTCAAATCAGCAAGCAGTTCTGATAGAAATAAAAACAGCACCGTGAGGCTGCGGCGCATGTGAGATGTGGACCATGCTTCAAGGGCATGTTCCGTCATGGAGATTTGGTGGGTGTGGTCACTGCCCCTGGACACAATTCGATGAACCGCAACAGCTCCACTCTGCAAACCTTGGATCTTGCTCGAAGGGCACCCACGGATGAGTTCGCAGATCAGCTCCAGTAGCAGGAGTAGTAGAAGTATAGTAGTAGCAGTAGTAGTAGTAGTAGCAGCAGCAGTAGTAGTAGTAGTAGTAGTAGTAGTAGTAGTCTGTAGTAGTAGTAGTAGTAGTAGTAGTAGTAGTAGTAGTAGTAGTAGTAGTAGTAGTAGTAGTAGTATTTGTAGGAGTGGCAGCAGCAGCAGCAGCAGCAGCAGAACCTTGGCAAAGGCTCAGACAGCCGTTGTGTGCCTCGCACCGCTATGCCTTTCAGGGCTTCCAAGCCTGTTTCTACGGTTGTTCAAAACTTTGGTGGGTTGGTGACTCCCAGTCTGAGCGCATGGATGCCTGAACACTTGGCCGGGGCAACACCCTAGTAGCCTAGCCATTTGCAACAAGCCACCTGCAAGTGATGTCAAGTAGCACTGTGATGCACCATTTGACCTTACGGTTGTGTGACAGCCTCGGGTGGACAATCGTGTCAGTCAAGGAGTCGATTGTAACCCTGTTTACAAGGGAGCCATTACCTCATCCGTCCCGAGTAGCACCCATCCACTCATGACCAAGCTGTAACCCACTTGCTGAGCCAAGTAGAAACGGACGCTTTGCATCACTGCTATGGCTTCGGGTTGCCATTTGTCACGATATTCAATACACCAACTTTACTCCCTCCGCATATCCACACAGCCTCAGCAGCACTGACGGTGGCTGTCAATTGTGGGGGAGCACAACAGCTCCAGTCGTTCAGAAACCACATCTGAGCAACTAGTAACCTCACAACCATAGAGTAAAGTGGGTAAAGGACATGGTTCCCTGAAAAGGAATGCTCCTAACGTTCTGAAAGACTGTGGGGCTGACGTACTGGCTGATTCAAGCAACGAAGCAACGACCAGAACTTATTTAAGAGGCTATGCAAAACGACTTGAGAGGCGGGTACACGAAAGCTAGCCAGCCCAACAATGACATGCACTACCCAGGAGTTGCCAAGAAATCAATCATAGCAACCTTAAACAAACATTCAGGTTTCATTGAGACCCGGATTTGGACCAGGTCTAAATGGGAAAGATTCATCAGCTGCAAACCTGTGCACGAGACTACGGGAATATGATATCGGCATTCGGGGCGGGGGGGTGGGTCGGGGGAATCGACTGGGGTCCCCCAAGCAAAGATCTGTTCTTGCGATTCAAGCATTTTGAGCCCCCCCACCCGACCCAGACCCTCATTGAATCAGGCATTGTGGGAAGCTCAGCCCCTAAAAGAAGCCAAAGCTTAGACAACTCCCGCATGAGCTATAGATTTTGTGACGATTGACCGCGTAACAACGTCAACGATTGTCAATCATAGCTGGTTAGTTCAAGCCTACTTGATGTCCGTCCCCTGTTGGCCATAGCCAACAAAACCTGACTTTTCCGACCCTGGTCAACAAGCCCCCGAAGGCCTCCGATCCGACTGTCGAGGGATCCAGAGACGACCTTCGAACGCGGCCGTGCAAGCATCGCTCGAATGAGGCTCGACTTGTGTAATCAAGCGCAACCCGAAGCCAATGCTGAATGCAGCTAGAGCAGATGGAGCAGATAGACTGCTTCTCGCATTGCTGCCAAGCCGACCCCTGTCTGTCCGCACAGCTGTCTAGTTTGGTCGATCTGTGACATTGGGCAGGATGGTTCAACTGAGACAAAAGCATGATTGACCTATCTGGTCTCCTCCCCTTCTATGGTGACAAAAGCACAATCAACGCAAAATCAGAAGGCAGGAATGATCAGGAAACTTGAGTCTATCAGTAATTGTGGGAAGATCTTGCCGAACCGCATCGAGCGTATGCACTTTGAAGCTTCCTCCCCAGCTGCAAGGCGGAAGGGACATTAACTACTCGCCACAAACTCTTCAAACACTGTCAAACAGCTACTCAGGAATTTGATCTTGTAACCTTGTCGACATGTTGTTGCTTTACACGAATGGCATCCTGAATCCCCAACCGAACCAACCCCAAGCGTAGGCATAAACAAGGCAATTTCCGAAAGCCGTGGCTTAACTTTGGCGGTGTGTGGCACAAAAACTGAAACAGGTTTATGACATACCATTGTGTGCATCATAGAAAGTGTATGTATAATGCATAATATGTATAATATAGAAACAACACGCGAAAGAAGTTGCAGCACAGTACAGCTGTGACGTGTGAGTCATTGCATAGAAACAAAAACACACATCGGAAAGAACTACGCAAAGTGCGACACATTCCTTTTTCTGTTCAAGCCAGCCAAGCCAAAAGTGTGGCACAGCATGGCACCCTCCTGTCCACTAACACGGAGTCTGGCTGGGGGGTCCTGGATCACAATTTCTTCTCAAAGGGGCCCTCTGGTGGGTTCCATGCCCCGCGGCCTGGACACACTTCGTGGAGGCTTCTCTCTTCGAGGCGTGTGCCTGTGAAGCAGGGCTGACAAAGACACCGAACGTCCGAAGGAACCCTGAATTCAATGTAGGTTCGTATCAGAATATATTGGGGACACAAACAATGGGAAATTTCATGTTGCTTCCCGTTCAAACAGCCTCAAAAAGGGTACTCGGAAAAGACACACCTGTTCCCTCCTGGCAACAGCTCGACGGGAAATAATTCCTCAACGCAGCCATCGCAAGGGGGACTATTGCTGCAACGTTCTCTGGGTGCTTGGCTGCGTTCACAATGCAAGGATTCGCAAAGAATAGGAAGCTGGCATCTCTGTCATCTGAGCTGGACGGCTTCGAATACTTACAGCACAGGAAAGCCGGCAACGAGTGTCGGTCGATCCGCGACACTACCTTTTTCGTTAACGCTGTGTGTGTGAACCGAGAATTGTGGAGTTGCAAGGCACCAACCTGAAAACGTAGATTCGTAGATCTCCCAGGCAGCTTTGATCGTGGCTGACTTCCTAACCCTGGCAAGGTTGCTATTGGCACAAAAAGGAGTCCACGTCTTTGCCCACCAAACAGGTCTGGAAGGAGTCCTTGACACCTCGAGCAAGGCCTTCCACCCAAGCCTTGCGAGGCATAGGGGCCCCCCTTGCATGAAGATGTTTCTGAGTATGACCTTTCAACAGTTCACCAAATATTGGGCTGAACAGTTCATTCACCAATATTCTTGCTTTTCATCCAAACTGTACAAAACATCGTCAGTTTGAGAACACCCGACATGTTGAACCTTCGGGCGGTCCCTTGCTGCATCTTACTAGCCCTGGACAGGGACAGGCCTACGGCAATCCCCAAAACACTTCGATTCAATGTGCCTTTCGAAAAAGGGGAGAGTGAGAGCATGTCCGCAAAACTCCTGATACTCCTCGGCCTCTTCCAACCACCAGCTAGTAACTACGCCAAAACAGGGTGGGAACAGCGGTTTTCCCAACCCCAACCTGCTTTGGACCTGCATCTTGGTTTCTGAGCCCCAACAAAAACAGGTAGGGAGTCGAAAGCGAGGACCTTGCATTTCGACTTCCCAAGCCCAACCTAGTTCCTACGTACACCTGCAACACTGGAGACGTGTGCCAAATGCCAAGTAGTTCATGGGAACCCGGATGAATTAATGAAACCATCCTTCCAATATGGGGCTGTCGCCCACTACAGTAAAGGATTGCCCCAAAAGCGGGGAAACACCCTATTAATCAAGCAGGGTTTATTAATCCGGGGTTGTTGACATGACAAGTTGCACAAACGCAAAGCAGCTGAGGGAAAACCTGCCGATCCAAACGATGATATGACATTGCCCTGCGTTAGTTGTGAAATCCTGCTGGACTGTGTGCTCATTTCGGATGCAAACTTGTCAAGCATGACTGACAATTGGTGTCAAATCACAGCTGAGATTACCGGCATGTAGGCTAGGCTTCTGCTGTAGTTGACCACTACGTTGCTAACATATGATAACTGTATGCTGATGTGTTCGCCAATGGGTACATCTTCATCCAACCGCTCTTAATTGCCCGGGCACCAAGTCACAAGTCCGGAAAACGGGAGCAACAACCCTAGCCCATTCCCGTTCTTTTGAACAAGAGTCGTGTACAATCAAAGGGTCCACTGTGCCACGAACTGCCAAAGGAAGGTGCACAATGACGATGAATGATATGGCTTGCCTGACTGCACACTTCACACAAGGGAGTTTGCATAAGATCGCAATAGTGGGCCAACGAAAGAAAGCATGCTGACGCTTGCCCCCCTATTGCTTGAACTTTGGCAAAGTCTCGGAATTTTGACAGAGCTCCATTCGCTAACAACATTCATCATTACACTGCACAAGTACTTCCCAACATGCAATTTGACGATTCCCTGGCAAGGTGACGGACCCTAATTTCCCCCACCCCGACCCCTTTCCCTGTACATCGCCTGAGCACCTCCTTTGCACCCTTCTCCGCGAAGCAGCAGGGGCAAAGCCCCGCCTCGGCCTCAAACGCAAGCGGCATCCTCCATAGACTAAATCCAAGCCAGAACAACGCCTGATATGCACGTGGTTTTGTCAACCTGCATTTACAGGGTATCATCCATCCCGACTGGTGCGAAACTGACTTTATCCATCCATCCATAGTACAACTGCGCACGCGTGCCAGCTGAGTGATTTAAGACTCAGAACTCACGCAACGTTCTGCACACTGGCATTAAAAAGCTAATTCGGGGTTGCTGTCTTGTAACAAATTTTGCTAGAACCTGACTGATCACTTGATCTGCCACATTATACATGCAGCCTTTGGAAAAACATGACTCTCCCGGACCTTGTCCAGCTGGGGACCCCAAGTTTGGAAGCACCCCCTCTGCTTGATCTTGTCGGCATATGTCAAAATCGGGAGACGTAGTTCCCCTTTTGAGTTTCTTCCAAACAATCTTAGACAGGGTACCCTGAAGAAACATACACCCATTTCGTTTCTGGGAAACAAACGGACAACTAGTTGGGACCTTTGCCGGCCAGAATGGAAAAGCAACTGCACCACATATATGCTATGTAAATCACTTCTGTAGGATAATGTGTTTTTGACACTTTTAGTGAAGACCATATTCAAACAAGGGTCGAAGTGAACTATATTGGGATGAGGAAAGTCTCCGATTCCAAACAGTGTCCTGAACGCCCTTTTGACCGAAACATGTTGCCTATACTGCATGGTTCGATCAAGTATTGTGTTAATGTTCTGTCCGATGTCACTCTGAGATCTTGGTCACGCTTGTGGGCAAACCGTTCACTTGACACCGTCGGATTTTGTCTTGGAAGCTACGGGAAGCCAGGATTGAACGCATCCCATTGCTGGCAGCAAGCTCACAGGTTGGCCCACCGTGACACATGTTGAACCTTGTTCTGACAAATCCAACCACGGACACTTGGTAACGCATGGCTTCTAACAAATAGCTTCCTTTCGCAGATGCTACACATTCGACTTTGGCGCCTACGCGTCCGGAAGCCCCCCCCCCCTCACCCGCATGCCTCAGCAGGGCGCTGGCGAGGCCCCGACCTTCACGCTTTTGGTCCATGCGCGTGGGGCAGTTTTGAAAGGACAAGCCCCCTTTGGTATTTGAAGGGAAACCGGAAGGAAACCGAGCATTTTCGAGGACCCCTAAAATGAAACGGGGAAACCATAAATGAAAAAGCCAACCCATGTTTGAGGATTCCACTTTGAGACCAACCCACAGATCTCGGGGTTGGAGGGTGCCTGGCAAATGGGTGTGGCATCCCCTGTGTTTTTGGTGGGTTCCTTTTACTTTCCCTTCAAACCAACTTCAAAAAGGGCACCCTCGACCAAAAAAAACACACGCCCAAATCATAGCCACGTCTCCTCCTCTAGTTCTCTTCACCGGCCTCTCTGACTCGCTGTCATCTCGCGACCGGTTGAGCCTGCAGGGCTTGGGACGTGGCTTATCCCTTCCAGCGAGCAGGCTGTTTTTTCTGGCGGTTACAAACCCTTTCTGGAAGGAGAGCCCAACCGGGTTGTCCTCTCATAATTAGACACGGTGTGATAATTATCCCACAAACAAGATTCTGCTGGGGGGTCGCATGCAAACATGCAGAGGCAGGTGAACACCAACCTGGGAGCTGTGTTGAATCCTTTTTCCGGCGTGTTTGCCAATCCAAGCAGCACCTAGACAATTCCGCACACAGGTAATCGGCACAAACCTGAATACCTGAGATGCAAAGACCACAAATGTCAGAGAACTGACATGGACAGTCTGCGTTTCATGTAGAGATGTCACAAACATTAATGATGCACGACTACATATCATATTCCATGAAATGTTGCAGTGGATCTAGGGATACATTATACTTATTATGTTGTAGCACATTTGTATTTTGCTCTTTCTGCAGGAGCTATAATTGATATCTTCTGGCAAAAACAAATGTTGATACTAGCTTTCATCCTCATTTACACTCTCGTTATCATTGTAATTTGATATTTGATTGCTGAGTTAAAGGCCATACTGAGTCCTTAGTAAGGCCTCAAACTGGCGCCTTGAGATGTGTGACTTTGGTCGTTGATGCGTGCTCATCTACTCATGGCTAAGATTCGTACATTCCTAACTTCCCCCATTGTAGGAATACAACTTCTTCCCAACCTAGCAAACATGCACAATTGGGCAAAAACCGTCATTCTCAGCAAGTGTGAGCGGGCAAAATTGGGGAGCCCCTCGAATAGAAGGGGGGAGGGGGTAAGTAATCCATGATACTGGGATAACATGATTTCCTGAGAAATGCATTTGGGAAGGTAAAAATAGCAATAAGGCCTCAGTAAGATCTCAGTTAGGCCGAAGCAAGGACGCAGTACAGCAAGGACTCACCAGTGCCTCAAAATTGCTGGAACGAGGCCATCTGCGCATTTGATGTTTAGTTCCTATTGAAAAAAAAACAAGCATGGTTGCGCTTGAGTTACATTGAACGAAGTTTTCTCACACTTGGCAGCAACAAGTTTCCCGGAGGCAAAGCAAAACTGGTTTTGAGCACTGAGCAGTGAATGAGCAGCTAGAAAGGCCTTAGTAAGGCCTTACTAGGGCCTCAGGGCTCTCAGAAAGGGGGTAAGTAATCCATCACAACAATAGTCTCTCCTTTCCAGATTCTCTTCATTCCTGGAATCACCTGCAACTTTCCTACCTTTTCAGTACTGTATCTTTGCCTTTGTCTTAGTTTCTGATCTCTCATTCCTTATCTTACCACACACAACCACCTACGCAACCACTCAGCTATGCACATGGTGGCGACATATCTGATCAAACTGCCGCACAACCTGGACCTTCATGCCCACCATGACGAACCCGCCTTGCGCGCTCACCCAGTGAGTCCTGTGCGAGGTGAAGGCGGTCATGCAGGTTCCCAGTTGGCGTCCCTTTTAGTAGACTATTGTCACTTGGCTAGTTCATTTCAGGCCTTAAGGAAACATGTTTGACATCAATAGCTTTCACAATGAATCTGCAGGATTCCACTCACAGATTCAACTCATTTTCTATCAAAGGGCCTCTGCATAACAGGTTGATCATTTGGCCAGGTAGTTGGGAATGCCCTCAAACATGGTTGGGCAGAAAGCCCTATGCAAATGAAGTCCATGGCTGCTTCAAGAATGACGTACACACACACACAAACCAACCGTAGCTCATGAATGGCCGATTGTTTTCGGTCAAACTCCCATAATTAACCGCATTTGTTTGCGTGTACGACCCGCATGAAGCCCGGATTGTTCAACATTGTGTTGGGCAAAGTGTTAAACCAAAAGCGAAAATGTTTTTCTCCAAAAAGGCCACATGGGGTGCCAGGTTCAGAATGTTATGCTTATGTTGGATCGCAGCCTCCGCACACCCAGAGCATTGGCACGGGGACCTTTTACATTGTCATTGTGCGACGGGACAGAGGACTCATAGTTAAAACTGATCAACCCTGGCTGGTTTAGCGTGTCAAAACCCGGGCCCGTCAAGTGGTTGGTGTCTTCTGGGTTGCTTCTCAGATTTATGTTGTGGAAGCCACCATTGAACAACATGTGTGTGTGTGTGTGTTTTGAAAGGCTTCGCACTCAAACAACGCAGCTGAATCCTTCAAACTTGAGCTGAACAGAACCAGCCGCTTTGAACACAGCGGATGCATCGGGTTGCGCCCACTGACACCAGGAGCAAGTGGGTCCCTGGAAAAGGAAAATCGAACCCAAAACCAAAATGTCCAGCCTTGAGGCGCGGAGCAACAGAAAAAGAGCACTGCCGACTTGTGACATGCCATCATGGGCCCCTGAAGCTAGCGGGCTGGGGACTGGGACTTTCCCGGATACTGGAATAGGCCTATGTGCTTTATATATCCCGACACGAGGTACTCCAAAAACAGCTGGAAATTCAAACAGTTCCAACACATGCAAACACTATGCAGGTTGACGGATTAAACATTAGGCTCCACTGCATTCCTGAAAACATATTCGTGCTTGCGCTTTATACTCAATACCTGCCAGTCCACCCTCCCTCCTCTTTGTGCAACAAACATCCAGGCAATTGTGTTTGTCACAACTCTTTGTCAATGCTAAGTCGCAGCTGTCCATTTCAAAAGGGTCCTTTTGCAACGTGCAGTAGCTTGGATGGCGTGTTCAAACCATCGGAGAATGGCTTGGGCATGGGTGAGCAAACTGGTTCAATTTCTCGTGCAGGTTTCACGGGCTGCAACCGCATTTTTTTGGATTTCTCACAGGCCACTCGGACGGAGGACAAATACAACTAACTGGCTGGTGATTGGAAACTGCCATCTTGCTCGTTTGCGTGTGGGTAAATGATCAATGGTCATCCCCTGCTCCTTGCTCGTCCCTTCCAGCTATTCCTTCCGTTGGTCCTCCTCGGACTCGGAGGTATCGGAATCCGACTCCCGGGCCTGGCAAGGGCTGCGTTTGTTTCATGGCTTGTGAGAGCACGCAAGACTCTGAGAATCTATTTTTCGAGACAAGCATGGCGGATGAGAGCAACTCAGGGACCCTTTGACGGACATCAGAAGCACGGGTATCTGTGTCCCAGCCATTTTGAATTTTGAATGGGGTGCCCCATTTAAAATCACTGCCATTTCTGAAGAAGTCAGTTTGGGGAGCGGAGGTTGCAGGGGAGGTTGCAGTATGCTGTCAGCAGCACTCCCCATCGACTTGCCGTTCTGTGGGGAGACGGGGTCATAATGTCGAAACTCAAGAACTGCGATTAGAGGGACCTCAAGCTCACCCATGTAGGCCTACGGGGAAATGTGGGGGCTCCATTTTGGCAGTCCAATTGAGCTTTAAACCGCAACCACAAATTGTGGGTGTGCGTTAAATTAGGGACACCCACAAAATGGTGCAGGTTCTTTGTTTAAACCAACACCCCGAAAAGGGTAGGGGGTCCCAGTGTAGCCTCTGCAGCGCCCATCACCGCGCAAGCTGGCCATCGAATCCTGAAACTATTCAAAGGCCCCACAGCACAGGCAGCGGCTTGGAGTCAAAACTATGGGGAAACCAAAGGACCACGTGACGTGGACATGAATTTTACGGAACCACTTCAAAAGTGGCTGGTGGGCATGAATGCACACCTGAATAATGTCCACCAAAGGATCCCCATTTAATTCACACCAATATATATATATATATATATACATATATATATATATATACATATGTGTTTGTTGTTGTTTCTCGCTGTTCAAAGGCAACCACAAGAGGGTTCAACAAAAACGACACACACACACACAGGAAGCCGGCAGGCCCCCACCCCCCCAGGGCAGCAGAAGGCACCGGCGGCGCCGAACGGACACAGACTACCCGAGGCCGACAAAGCCCAGAGCATCCCCCAATCGTTTTGCGTCCCTCGGAGAGGCAATGCGCTCGGTCAAAGGCTAATTGCATGGCCCTTATATGTAAACCCATGGCCATGTGGGGCCTGTTTGGTGACCGGTTCCCAGGTTTGAGCCGCACTTGGTGCTTAAGTAACCACTAAACAGGGGTTCATGCCTGGGGTTCACATACTACAGGTTCATACATTGAGGCCTTGACACAGCGCAGACCTGCACAGCTCCGTCAGTGAAACTTGTCTCCCAAAGCCGCGTTCCAACGAACTGACCGACCTTTCACTGTTTGACCCGCGCTAAACGTCTGGCCTAAATTGACAACTCTGAGCAAAGTTTACCAACTCATATGGGTGTGGTGTCTGGATGCGCTTTTCAGGCTGGTGTCAAGGGAAAAGAAAACGGAACATATGTTTCTTAAATTGTCATGTCCATCTATTTGACAAACACCTCAATCTTGCAACCAAAACCCTTGGGGCCTTTGTAGTGAAAACACCTTCGGTCACGTTGCTTCCCCTCTTTGACTCCCAAAGGAATCTCGAGATATTGCGGACACCTTCCCAGCTGATCTTAGGCCTGCACCGGCCCCACAAACGTGGCTTGCCAGGCGCATGGTGGCACGGCGCCGGAAGGCACGGCCGATCGGCCCACCGAATCCACTCTCAGTGAGCTGCGGCGCACGCCGTTAGGAAAGGTTCACGCCGAACAACAACAAAATTTCAAAACACGCAGGAAGGCCGTGTATACATCTGGATGAACCGGCCATGTGAGGTTAACTCGACAAAGCCATGCAAACACCAGCCCCTGGAAGCGCGGCAAACAGGTAGCCATATGCCCCAATCATTTCCGCGAAGGAGTGAGGTGAGATACTCTGGAAGTGTGCACCTGAAGGCCCGAGTGCTTGCAGTTTTTGAACGTCCGTTCGCAGTACAGCTCCGGCCCATTGGCCAAGGACAAGGTGTACTCAGTGTACCCTGGGTCACAAGTGACTCAAAGTTTGGGTGAGCTAAGGCCACTCAGTCAGCAGCTATTCCAGCTAGTTCAGCTATTCCAAGCCTCAGGACTTCCAGCGAACATGTTGCTAGTGTTGGATCAGCAAAGAGCCAAAAGGAAACAACCAATGAAACCTTATTGGAGCCCACAGGTCACTGCGTGCAAAAGCAAGTGCGGTCTGGCCAGATCTGCAGGCATGTGTACACACTCCCATCAATTGTCAAAAACTGCAAGAAGCCTAGCAGGCAGCGACCCCTATGGCCAAGCGCCAAGAAACCTGGAAAGGCATCGACTTGGAGGAGACTCCTTTTTGGGTACCCACGTTTTTGTTTCCATGCTGATCTGCAGGTGGACAACTCAATTGACAGCCAGTTTGTGGCGCAGCTGTCAATCCATAGTCCTCAGTTTGAGCTGAGTTGGCGGGCGACGTGATGTGAAGTTTGACTTGGCGCCAACTTAGTGGCGTGTGCATGTGTGCAGTCGGTGCGGTTTCTGTCTCAAAGCAAGTGACCCCAAATGGTTGATTTTCTGCAAGAGTTTTTTTTGAAACATGGCACACAATGGCTCCCCCCAAGACAAATGATTCGAGTAATCCGCAAGTGAAATTTGCCTGGCGAACCTAGGCTGCAATCACACGTCAATCCGACAGCGCGCAGGGCCTCAAGCATGGTGCTGGCTGATGCGACGCAAAAGGAGCTCAGTCACGCCACAATGAGACCCCCTTCATCCAGGACACTCCGATTTTCAAGGGACTAGCCAAGATCCAACTACATGGGCTGAGAGCCGCTGAAATTCAGCTGAATGCGTGGGCCAAAAGCTGCCAAACCAAAAAAGTCTCAAACAAACAGCCGAGACGCCGCGTCTGTGAGAACCGACGAAACGCTGCAGCCAAGAGCGAAATCGAAGCTTCCGGGAAGGCGGCGTAACTTCTCGTCAGCGCTCGCAACTTAGTTCCGGAAAATGCCACAGCAGCCTGGACTAATGTGCCTGGTTCATTGCTTGCTCTGGCCTCAGTCTTCGGACTGTTGCAGCTGTCCGTCACACGCTCTGTCACAGCTGCCTGTCACATCTGTCTGTCGCAGTCTCTGTCACAGCTGTCCGTCACGTCTGGTTGTGGCGGTCGGAATGTATCTTAAATTCTAACCACCCGCAAACCTGTCCGGAAAGAAAGCACCCCAAACGTGATGCGTGCTGTCAGCGTGCCATGCCCGTTAAACCGAAAATAACTTGTTTGGTTGCCTACTATGGTAGTAACAGGGATCAACTGGGCCAATATTAAGGCATTGCAGAATGTTCCAAACTGTGTCCTTAACACACGTGACAGTGGAAATACCATGCAGCACACGCAAAATGGCTGCATTGAATTCATCTGGTTAGGCTTCTCAGTCTTCACCAACATGTTGGATAGATGGGGCAGAGCCGTCGGCCTGTCGCAGTGATGCATTGCGAGTTGGATTGCCTGGAGCCCCGTACTTACCAAACACTGGCCTTGATTTTAGCGTTCTGTATCGGGCATGGCCCACGTTTCCGGAATAGATCGTGGGAATCACAACATCTTCGGGGCGTCTTTCCCCAATCTTGGCCCGTGATAGCATTGATTCTTAGGGCAACTGAGCTCCGTCTGGGGACCCGAACCTTCGGCGCTGGGCGGGAGCACCGACGGGCGGCGGGCACCTAGCCCGCTCAGACTGGCCACTTTTGAACAGCTGAGTCAATGCAGGTCAAGCCATTGCAAAATGTCTGATCTTTCAGCATCTTGCGAACCAGCACTGAGCGAAATCGCGCGACTTTCGGCTCACTTTAGCCAGGTGAACATGTATTCCTTGCCGTGAGCGCAACACAGCAAGTCATAAGGTGGACCAAGGGCCCTCGCTTTTATGGGACGCTCTGTGTTTTGGTGGGGGCCCTTGCCTCGCTGCTCGTCTTTAGTGGGGGACACATATTTGAAGATTAGGGACATATGATAAAACTAACTACTTCAGCTTTTGCCCCCCCTAAAACTAACACTTACAACGATGCATATTTCGTGAACCATGGTGAAACTTAATCAACATGTAAAAGAGAAAATAATAAACACACACACACGCACACAGACACACACACAGACACACACAGACACACACACACACAGACACACACACAGACACACACAGACACACACAGACACACACAGACACACAGACACACACACACACCCACACACCCACACACCCACACACCACACACCACACACCACACACACACACACACACCTGCACACAAAACAATATGCGGAATCTACGAGACAAACCTTGGCTTAGATCTTCGGCACCAGCCTGAACCCCGGAGGGTCACATCGGGCAGCAACAATCCTCCGCACGAGAGAGCTGGCACTCGCAAACCAAGGAATGTGTCAACCCACGAGGAAAGGCATTCTTACTTCCTGAGTGGACTGGCGCAAACTCGACACGTTGTGTTTGCCACTCAAATGGTCTTTCCAAAACGCATGAAGTCCGGCAACTCAGGGACTCGACTCAGCATATTGGCAAATTGCGAGAATTCCCAACTGATCCCCCACGAAAGGAACCTTCTGTCATAAGCTGGCTGAGCCCAGGCAGTCTTTTTGACAACACCCATGTTCCCGAGAAACATGCTGAATTCTGCCCAGGGTGGATCCCAGCAGCATCGGTTTCGTGTTCTTCATGAAAGCCCCGTGCAACCTGGACCGAGAAGGTGTTGTTGGACGCCAAGTTCAGTGTCGCCATGCCCAATCATGGAATACAGGCTGGTAGAAGAGTTTGATGCTCCTCTTCGGCCCTGGATGTACATTCGCCAGCTTGGATACCACAAGCTGACCAATACGGACTGGACCCGGTCAAACAGTAGATTCTCGTGCGAGGCAATGGTAAACAGTAGCGGAATAGCTAGTTGCTAAAAGGAGCGAGAGTGTTGGGCGGCGACCAACCCGAACGCAGGCAAGTCAACAGATCGCAGCAACCATCTCTCTCTCTCTGACAGAAATCACCAGGAACATCTGCAGGAGAATACCCTTCAAACCCCAGGTTTCCGGCTTTGCTTCTCTGGTGTGCCCTTACACTCTCTGTCCAGCTTATGACATTTTTCGCGTAAGGGCTGGGCTTTGTGGTGCTGGAGTCGATGCCTCTCGCTGGTCGGATGCAGGCTTCTTAGCGCAGCCCCGGGCAAAACGACCCAAAAGGGCTTGGGAAGACCGAGTCTTGGATTCCTTGTGGGGAAATTCGGTTGTCCGCCCGTGTCCTCCCCAAACTAGCAGTAGACTGCCAGCAATTTTAAGGGGACTCACATGCCCACAGGCCCTGATGTCACATTTATGCCCCGTATGCTCCACACTTTTCAAAAGCAGTCAGGGTACCCCACCCAGTCACACAATGACCGACTATATATGCATGTGTCTCAAATCAGTATTGGCAGCTGTTGAACTGAAGAAAGAAAGCCAACCGAGATAGCCTTTCCGAGTCTCTTAGACCTACCCTATGTATGTTACATCTTATCGGCCCTTGCCCCATAGCAGTGGCACATGGTGGCACACATATTGGACACGGCGATTCACCCCAACAGTTGATGCACACGGCGCCCCAATCAAACGCTGAAGGGTTATCCAGCTGCAGTTAGTTGCCCAAAAAAGCGAAGCACATGCGTGCACTGATATCAAAGGCCAAGCACTTGTGGGAATGTGTCAGAACAACGGACCCCTTCTGACAGCGCTGACAAGAAGCGAAAGAAAGCTAGTCTGACACAATCCTAGCAAGTTAGATGATACATCCAACAACACCCGGGCCATCAGCAAATGTCCACGAAAACCCTTGTAAGCCTTCTCCCATGGTGTCGAACAGCTGCCTTGCAAGAAGTCGGAAACTTAACCAACATGTCACAAATCCTTCTTCCACACTTGAATTGGCCTGATGAACCACTGAAAGTGTGGCGCTTCAAGACTGTAGGTTCTGCGCACAGCTTCTCTCCCCACACCTGTGAATCTCGCCTCCCATGTGGTTTGGCCGGAAATAGTCCCAACCAAATGGTCTTTCCGAAGAGATTCAAGATGATTCAAGTCAAGGAATTTAGGAAGAGAGGAATTGAAGCTCCGAAGGGACCAGAATAATTAACAAGCCATACATGGGCAGCTTTTTGCTGTGTGGGGCCATATCATGCTTTAATTGCTTACGACTCCCACAGAAACGCCAACATGAGACAAAACCCACACTCTGCGCAGGTGCCTACGCCACAACGCGCCTCAATACATTCTGAACAAATTGTCAGAATTTCTACCTCGTATACCGAATTGTTTTTTTTGTTTAACTACCTCACAACATGAAGTGTCCTCCTCGCGCCTCGTATTTCGGGGCCTTCCTTGTCTCTTAAAAAAGGGTGCAAAACTAAAACTGCGGGGGGGTCGAGCCAGGTGTAGTGTTGCAACCAGTTTTTTTCTCAACAGTTTATGTTTTCAAGCTTTTTCTGGCCACATAAGAAGAAACGGCTGGTTTTTGAGAACCTGATGAAAGACAAAGAAGGGTCGGATTTTCTCAAACCTGTGTGTTTTCAAGCTTTTTAAGGCCAAATAAGCGGAAACGGCTGGTTGTTGAGAACCTGATGAAAGACCAAGAAGGGCCGGATTTTCTCAACAGTTTGTGTGTTCAAGCTTTTCGGGCCAAATAAGCAGAAACGGCTGGTTTTTGAGAACCTGATGAAAGATAAAGAAGGGCCGGATTTTCTCAAACCTGTGTGTGTTCAAGCTTTTTAAGGCCAAATAAGCAGAAATTCATGGTTTTTGAGATTTTTTATCAACCGTGTGTGTGTGTGTGAGTGTGTGTGTGTGTGTGTGTTCAAGCTTTCTAGGGCCAAATAAGCAGAAATGGCTGGTCTTGAAAATCGCCGCTGTTTAGTAAATATGTGCGCTTCTCACGATCAGCTCCAGAAGCAGGGTGGCCTACAAAGCAAGGATGAGCTTGGAAGGCCCTCCTGTCGCACCTACGCGAAGCCTACGCGAATTTTGACGGACTTGATTGAATATGGGACACGGCGTACTTATTGGACACGCAAAGCTTCACAAGTCTGACGCTTCACACCATTCACCCCTGCATAAAAGTACATGCCACGTAACATGATGTCAACCTATCATATCGTCGCCAAAACGATCAGGATCCCCCAAAAGGAGGTTCCTCTATATTTATTGGAATTCTTTCGTGTTTTCTTGTGGGGGAGTTTAATGGACAAACTCCAGTTTCGGACACCAAACTCCATTTACACTGGGCGTCCGGGCACCGCCCGGGTACAGTGCTGCCACCTGATCAGCTGTCAGCGGTGGGGGTGCAGGGGCAGGGGCCCCTCCAGCATCTCCGTCTCCACTGTCCTGCGCGCTGGGTGGTTGAGCGGCCAACCAGCAGGGCCTGGGGCCCCAGCCTACCCCCTCCACTTTCCCCAAGAGACACTTTGGAGGAAGCCAGGGAAGTGTGCGTGTGCACAACAGCAACGGGTTGAGGGCATTGTGCACGTTTAAATACCAAGGGACGGGCGCCAAAAGGCGAATTCTCCATAAGGGGAGATTTTCTGGTATTGCCCAAAAAGTAGGCACCAACCCCCTCATTCCCACAAACCGGACACCGTATGATTGAAGCTACGCACGATGTACTCCAACCTTGACGTACTGTTGAAGAACATGCTACTCAGTGATGGATGTTGTGAACAGATTCGATTTGTTGCTGTTGTAAACAGACTAGACTCCTTGGTTGCTTCCTGTTCGTGCGCATGCAATGCGAGCTACGAAGTAGTACAAGACCCGCTTCGAGTCATGATTGATAGCTGGTGCACTCGCCAATGGGCAAACGCACGTGACACCTGCTTTATGTGGCCAATGCCAGGTAGATAATAGTACACATGAGCCATAAGCAAGAGGGTCTCGGATGTAGGAGTAGCACAGCTTTCCGGCAGCCAGTCATGTTTTGAGTAGAGATGCATCCCATCTATGTTCATACATGTTCATACAACACATCGCTGCTTGTATCTCAGAAAACAAATCCAGGGAGTCCGCAATAAACTGGGACAATCAAGTTCAGTCAAAATAGCGGATGCCACGCTGGCATTGATACCAGTCTTTTGCGCCCTCACTTGCCTTGTTGTGGTAGACCCGTTGTAAATTAATGCCCCTGAGTGGGAACCAAA